CGTGTTCCAGTTCACTGGCTAGGTGATGATGGTCGGAAATACATCGAGCTCTATGGTGTAGAGTTTTGATGAGGGAATTATTCTGGGATGAATGGTGGTGGGAGTCAGGTTTTAGGTAGGCATCCATATGGGTGGCTTTCCTGTAGACAGTGTCCCGTTGAGCCATCTGGTCTCTTTTCGATCGAAAAAAGTGTCCCATTGAGCCATCTGAGGACCCAATCAAAACCATCACCTTGCCATACATAGCAGGGGTCATCAAAAATAAGATCCAGGTTCGATTTAACACAGTACGTAAAATTTGTGATCTGATCCCATCTGTGAAGAATGTGGTCCCTGACATTCAATTCCCGGTGTCTACAAACTAAGCTCTGTCTGCAGCAGTAGCTACATTGGGGAAACTAAGCGACATGTCTCAGACCGTGTTCGTGAACATAAGGTAGATCTGAAACATGGTAGGATTAATACCTCGGGTGTGGCTGATCATTGTTTTAATGTGGTGGGCTCACATGAAATAGATTTCTCTACATTGCAAACCCACTCGCTATCAACAAAGATTCGTTCATGAAGCCATCCATATATGCAGACAGACAATTTCAACCGAGAAGATGGGTACAAACTTAGGAATCATTGGAAGGACGTTATTAACCAGTTTAAGTCTCAACTGGCTGTGATGTTCCCATCCTGCCACCTTCCGATGTTGTTATTTTCAGCTCTCCGATTTGACATTAACAGGTTAAATTTCACACACCAACATAGCCACCTCCGCGCGCCGTACCTCGACGTGGCGGCGGCTCTGCGATCTCACATTAACATGCTAATCTCTCACATTAACATAGCCACCTCAGCGCGCTCGGCATGGAGGCCGCTCACCGATCTTACATTAACATGCTAATCTCTCACATTAACATAGCCACCTCAGTGCCCTCGCCGTGGAGGCCGCTCATAGATCTTAGATTAACATGCTAATTTTTACTTGGCAGCCCATTGATTGGTGGAAAACCCACCACCTTCGCGGTCGCCGTCAATCACTTACATTAACATTAGCTGCCCCGCCCATGCTTTTGACATTTGGGCTATGCCCATTTCAACCCTTGATAAACAGTTAGCCTTTAGAAGCTCACCCCCTTTTCCTGATGACGACCGCTTGTGTTTCAATCGAAACATCGTAGTTTTTTGTTATTTTCTTTGACCCATCTACGTGACTTTACCGAAAGACGCAAAGAACAAGAACCCAGTGTTATTTTGCCATCTCCTGACCACTACGTAGGCCAAGCCTACAACGCCTGCTATTCGCAGTCTCCCATTAAACCCATCAAAGTATGTGTACTATCCTTCTAAAATCAGCTTGGCTTCAGAGATCCAACAAGCATGGAGACCGTCTTATGTATTGATATTTGTGCACCACTTCGAAACATAGCATCACAATGCTTTTTGTGCATTGATTTTGGAGCTCAAACGAGATTCGCCACATTAACTTTGCATGGCATGGATCCCTGAAATACATGTACAGTATATGGAACGCTACGCCACACCTGTGCAACTGAAGCATGCTGGCATTCGCACCGCAGTGCAAGGTGGTGGTGCCTCCGGGGTGCATATGGGTAATATATAGCAACCGACTGTGGTTTACGCTCCTTCAACAGAGGAAATGGCAAAACCGCACAAACTCTCTCCGAAAGCCCTCTATCGTGGCTAGCAGACCTCAACGTTGGCATTTAGCTCCTGCTTAACATATTTCCATATGAAACGCGAGACTAAAACCAGGACGTCTGTGTTTCTCTAAGTAAACGTTTATTTAAAACATTTGCCGTAGTGCTGCATTCGGCCCCTTTACATTGTGTAAGTTACAGGCATCATTGTTGGAGGGCATTGTGTATCTTCCATTGTGTCTTATCAATGGGCCGTGTGCTGTTGGTTAGGCATTCTTCATGCGTAGACCTTTAAGGACATTGGACCAGAGCTACAGTGCAGGCCGTATTATATAGGCACGAGTGTTCCAATGCGTTACTGCATTTAAGTATGCAGTTTGGGGCATCAGAATGAGGAATATGCAGTCACGGTGCTCTCCATGCAGGCCAGGAGCAATGCATTTTCTCACAGTCTGCAGTTTGCATGGGCACCCGATGACTGCACAAATCCGTACGGTACTGTACTATGTATACATATAAAGAACATGTATATGGTATGTATCGTCAACACAACTTTGCAGCCTTCTTTATTAAGTTCTTCCACCCTAATGGCTATGTATTCAATACACCTTAGATGGGTAATAAGTTATCCATTTGGTTTCATCCCTGATTTCTCTGATTTTAGGGGAAAAAAACATTGTCATGTTGCTTTGAATAACTATGATGAAAGCTTATCTCTTTTCCTTGACTACCCTTCTGATATCTTTTTTTATTCCTTCTTATAGTTAGACCTTGCTCATGCCTCATTGCAACGTTAAACTTACCACTCCTTTCACCAACTTTATATTAAAGCCACCCTTTGCGATGTTGTCAGATGTTATACCCGGACTTTGAAATTGGTTAATTCCTTCACCCATTTCATGTACAGCTTCATATATGCAATATACATTTAGCTTCTAGTGGTTCCAGATGCGTAATGTTAGTTGGGCAACTATATCAAATGTACCCGTGAATCCTAAAACTCGATGATTCCTGGACAGATTAAAAATCTCGCTCTTTCCTAATCAATCATCCATTAATCTATGACATAATTGCCATATTTCAAATGGTTGGTCTCCCCTTGTCTTCTCAAACATACATTTTAAAATAACAATGCCTTTGATTTTTTACAATAGGTGACATTGTGCAATGCCCCTTCTTTATAGCAGAGATCAAAGAAAGGGCAAGAAATGCATTGCCTGAAACATGTTTTACGTTTTCCTTCTATGGCAGTATTATTGACAAATTAGTTGAGTTTTATTCTCAGTACACAGTCCAACCATATCCACAATTATTACAAATAAAGTTTACAAGAATGTAGTGAGAAATTGTTTTCTGTTGAACAAACTAGATTTTTGCAGAAAACTCCCTCCTGTATTTAACACTGAATTTTAATGATGTGCATAAATATAAGATAAAGAGATTTCCAAGGCATTTACTGTTTATATACAGTATACTGTATCAAGCTTAATAATATTCAATCCTTTGTCATGCCACTGATGAAAGCCTCCCCATGCTCGACCAGTCATGGGGGTATAGTTTGACAAAGACGGGTCAGTGCAGGTTAAGGGAGTGCGTGCCCAAGGCCGAATAAGATATCACGTATCACTTATGTTAGCCATGGCTGGCAATCGAAGTCTGGTTACCCGGTTCATAGCATCGTATGTGAAACACTTTGCTCATCTCAGCCAATAAAAACCATGGCACCAGGGTCTGTCCCGTGACCTCTTGCCAGCAAGCAAGCCTTCGACACTGCACGTGGCCTCAAAGTGCACCGCGCCTGGCACAAGCGCCATGGTGATGTCACCGCCACCAAGTGGCGAATGGCGCTAGTTGTTGTATGACTCACCACCCTATCCTCCTAAAAAGGAGGAAAAGGGATAGAAATACAAACAGGAGGAAGGAAGGCCGTTTCAGCCCTTCGGTGCAGCAGAAGAGAATGGATGACCTCCGATTTTGTGGCTAATTTAAACTATGCGAATAAGCTCCTAGGAGGTGGCTAAGGAAGGTGGGGGTAGGAGAGTGAATAGCATGCATTGGGAAAGAGCAAAGTTGGAATCAAATTCCAGTTCAAGTGTAATGTGTTTAACCAGGAGGTGAGAACTCGTGACACCAGGGCAGTCTCATTTTAAAGAGTTACCTGGATCACCAATATGACGAAAGTAAAACGAAGCGATAACAACAAAAAAACACCATCACGTGAATAATTCAAAAATATTGCAAACGTAATCAAAGTTAAATCAAAGCTATGTATTAAAATCCCCTGCAGCGTACACAGGCAGATTACCTCCAAAACAATAAGCAGGAACAAGACGACAAGAGATTGCGAATACCAACTCGGTGATGGAGCTTAACGATGCGAATAATTTGATCTCTTGTGCGTGAGTGTAATTAGAAAATCTGCGTCTGCTGACGTTTTGGGAATCTGTAGAGTAAAGCAATAACCCATGTTGGAAGTGCTATAATAAAGATATTAACCACGATCTCTGCAGTCAACTAGCAAAGGTATTCGTGGGAACAGAAGTTGAAATAGGAGCCATTTTCAAGGTGGTAATGTTTCGCAGAGCTGAGAAATGCGAGGAAAAACTAAAGGCGCTTAAGACTCTGCTGCAATAGCAGGATTGTCACTATGGAAGTCGCGGTTCGTACAGTACCTGTACATTGCAACAGAATGTATAATCGAAGGGGAAGTTTGAGGCGCAGAAGAGGGACAATGATATCGATAAATAGAGGACACTGCAGGGCACTGAGGTCTTGAATATGAAAGAGAAATCCTTTTGTTGTGATGAAAGAAACAAGGTGAATGATACAAACGCAATCATCCATGTAGCACCATACAGTACACACTTTCACACACCTGCATAATAGTTTCTGTATAAATCTATCGACGTGGTAGTAATTAATATGCGTGTGCTGTCGAAAGCTCAAACGGCACCGCATTACCATTACATTGCCGCATGTAACGAACCTTAGCCGCGTGATTTCAACGTCAACACACGCGCGCGTTGACAGCCGCAAGCCAAGTATGTACCAATGCCCACGGTTAAAACACGGGACAACAATACCCCGTAAAGATCTTGATCTCACAATGTACCAAATCGCGTTAAATTGAATATAAACAATCCGGCAAAACCGTTGCCACGATAGAACCAAAGTCAACGGGCGCACGCGGCACGCACACAAAAAAAAGATGGGTCCATCCAGAACGTCACCACGTGGTGGAAAATTCTTGAACACATGGATGGGGTCGCTGGCTTGTGGCGTTGTCCCTTTCTAAACATCACCGTCAAGTGCGTGCGTGTGCTAGCTTGCTTGCTTCGAGACGCAACTCACCGAGAGACGAACGATCGTTACGTCCGTACGCTTGCGAACCGCCAGGCGCTTTGCGATGAGCCGGGGTTTGTTTTGCTCTTTTTGCTTGCCGGCCACCCCCCCACCAACCCTCACCCTCCTCCTTCCTTTTCAACAGCAGCGAGAAGGAGGTAAGATGTTGGCCCGCCTTGTGCTCGCACCAGCCGACAACTAATGGCTTAGCTTGTTTCACCCGGAAGAGCTGGCGGCTGGTAGGCGGGTCTCATCCGAGGCGCAGACAGAGGGTCATGTTTTCCTTTTTAAGCCATTGTTTTTGAGAAATTCCAAATAAATGAAATTGCCCTCTCCCCCCCCCACCTCGCCGACAGGAATCCAACTCACAAAAGAGGGATGACAGCCACAACATCATCAACAACATCATTATACCGTCTTGCTGTGCTGCGAACACACCAAAGCCGAGTGACGCTCATGTGCTGTCATTCCCGTTAGTAGTTGTGTTATGGAGAGAGGAGGGGTTTTTTTTACACACATTGTAAACGTGTAGTGTTTAAATGTGTTTATATTTACGCACGTGCAAGTGTTGTTATGGTACCCTTTTTGAAAAAATCCTGGGGTTTTTTTTTGTCAATTACATCTTGCTAAAATGGGTTGGAATGCAAAAGGAACGGTTTCATCTTAATGGGCTGCCACCTCATTATGAATGCATTTGCAGCCAAAGTTGTGTTTAAAGACGTTGCATACAACTATTCGTTTTCATTGTAGATTGTCCATCACTGTTTATTTGTTTACTGAAACTATATTGGTTTGTGGTTAGTAGTGATTTCCTTATTTTTCACCATAAATCAATAATCCTGGCGTTATAAAACATGTTTTTTTTTAAAGTCATAGAATGTATAAGGCGATATACAAACATAATTGTTTATTTTGGTCTTCTTCACGTTTAAAACTACAATTAAAAGTGAATATTTATGTAAATTATAATGACTGTACTATACACACTGGTATTCGTGTGGTTATGGGGTGGCTGTAGTTAATCCTTCCTGATGGAGTCGAGTTTTAAAAAAAAAACTCAACAAATCCACCACGCAGAATCCTATTTCACTACGCTGCTCCGCGCATAAAAGTAAATCCGCATCTATGTGGAATTCTTTCAAACATTTCATAGAATACGCACGTAACAACGATGGGGAGTCGCCTGTAAATGTTTCATGGCTAAACCGTAATCATATTTATCATCGCCAAAGACTACAGAAATACGTCTTGAAGGAGACAAACCAAACCACCCCGGGAGACGTGGATGGATTTGCCCAAAAGGGTGAAACAGCCTCAGACTCTTTCAGATTGCGGGGCTTTATTTTGAATGAACTTCACCGGGACATGTTTTTGGTTACGAATACATCTGCTGGCAGGATTAGCTGGGGGGCAAGAGGCGTGATACTCAAAGCGGAGCTCACGGGAGCCAAAACATGAGCCATGCCAGAGCCAGATGCCATTTGAAGGAGGGCATTTAGGAAAGGGTTACACTTTGGAATCGGTACAATTATTATTGTTGAACGCTGACACGGCAGTAGAAACAGCACATTTCAAATTTTTATCACACAGTTTTGTAATATTGTACCACCTTGAGTAAAATCAAACTTATGAAAGCACCTATTACAATTTTATGTCAAGCCAGAAACATAACTTGCAGGAAATTATTTGCTGGGAGCCGTTAGTTGTTTTTTTGTATATACAGTAATGTGTATCATAAGCTGTTTCCTAAAACCGCATGTAGTGTAGTACATTAATGATAGGCAATTACATATTCTACAACAGTATCGTTTTATGCAACATAAAGCACAATGAAATTAGTAACAAAATAACCCGCGAGGATAGAAGAATAGTACATACCAGAAAACCATAAGTCTCAAACAACATACAAAAAACGTGTAAGAAGCACTTAGTTTTTATGCGTTATACAATAAACCATCAGCAGTTCCTCAAGAAGTGCATTGTGGTTATTTTGACTTCGATCACCATCAAAGTAAATTTGAACAAATGAGACCGACTGATAGGGAGCAGTAAAGGGGCCGTTCATAAATGACGTCACGCGATTTTGGACGATTTTTGACCCCGCCCCCCCTTCGTCACGCGGCGTCACAAAAAGTCAGACCCCCCCCCCTCAAATATGACGTCACAAAGCTCTACCCCCCCTCCCCCCCCAAAAAAAAGCTTCAAAACGCTTTAAACTATTGTCATTGTAGTGCGTATTTAATGTGGCGCTGCACTCTAATGTTGTAGGAAAAAACATTTATTAAAAAGTCTATTTAATTAAGTAGAACGTGTTGTCTATATTTATTTAAAGTTGCGCATTTTGATGTGACGTCACATTTCTCAAACCCCCCCCCCCCCGTCACACATCGTTACAAATGTCTGACATCCCCCCCCCCTCCTAGGTGCGTGACGTCATTTATGGACGCCCCCTAATATACACACTCTGGAACGGGTTCATTCATATTAGGACTCCTCTGTACAGTAATAATCACCATTGATCACTGCTACAAAGTCTGCCTTCGTGAACCATGCGTGTACTGCTTTCTCCTTCGAACACCAATGGGGCCCAGCATTAAAACTCCCGGAAATCGGTCGTGACGTTACCAGAGTACAACAGCGCCCCATCGTGGGCAATGCGGTGTGTTTCGAATTAAACACCGGTGAGCCTATGTTGGGCAGAGTTGCAACGAGCACAAGAAACACAACGTCTCAACACATTCGTCAAATAAACACGAACCTTAAAGCAAATACTATTGGCAAAGTTTAGAGCAAATGGCCTTCCCTTCACAGAGAGGCAGAGTTGCTCTACATCCCTGGCCTATGGACTGTGAAGGGCCATTTGCCAAAAACGTCGCCTGTTGTACACTTCAGGCAGTGTTAATGACGAACGTGTTGAGTTATCACGTCTTTAAAAGCTTTTGGCCACTGAAAAATGTGAGGAGGAATTTAAAACCAGAACATTTACTATGGCTTTACAGTTAAATAAAACGTATACTCACTGCAACAGAATGTGAACTGCAGCTTTGATTATGCCCAGTATCCCAGTAGGAAAAGGTGCTGATATGAAGCTCATGTTAGTGTAAACCAATTTATGTATTGCAGTCCCTTAACAATACTAACTTTGTAAATGTGGTCTTCACACCATTGTTATTGCGCAAGGCTATCACGAAAGCTCGATGTTTACCGTAGTCGCAGTAATTTTCACAGGCGTCGGCGATGTTGCTACGTACTAATCACATTGAGTAATTTACAGGTAATTTTACAAATTTGGGCCGTGGCTCCAGAAAAATAATGGCCTACTTTTTTTTTGTTTAGCGTCGCGAGATCTTTAACATCCACTGTGAAACAGACGGCTTGTATTTTACAGTTAATACACCAGCAGTAATGAACAGGGCGGCCTGCTAGAATCGAACTGCGAACCTCTATAATGAGCGGGAAAATAGACATTGCTCTCTATTGGAGCATGTCACGACCCTACAAAATGCCTCTACTACCATAGATATGCAAATGATATGGTTTATTTAGCGGAACAAATATCAACATTTATTGAACTCAACTGCAATTTATATATTTTTTAAAACACGCAATAAAGTGCAATTATGTTAAATGAAAATAAAACCCCTTGAAAATACTTACAATTATTCAAAAATCTTATCTTAATATAAAACCTGGCATTATACTATATACATCAATTACTGTAATATAAACTCAAGCATCATAATTATAATAAAATAAACATTACCTCATTAAGACTTATAGAAATTACCTACATTTTCCAGTGTGATAAAATGCATGACATATACAAAAATACTTGTATACTATATACTTTTGGCATTTGAAAGTTTGGTAGCTATATTTTGTTTTAAAAGTTCCTAAGCAAGGCTTATCACCAGGTGTACAAAAATGTAGCTTTCATGGATATACTAATAACATTCGTAAAAAGTATCAAATATATTTACAAAATTATATACACAACCAAAATACACGAAGTAACCAAATAGAGCAAGGTTAATATTTTATAATTATTACTCAAAATATGGCCATTACACCATTTTAGGAAGGCTTAGCTAGAGGTTTGTCGAATTAATCATTGCAGGGTTATCATATGCGGCCATTGATTTTTTGTCGTCACAACTTCCAGCGACCTCTTGCTTTTTGTCTTTGGTGGAGTCGGGTATGGAAACAACCTCAACTTGTTTATTTTTGCCACTTTTGGAGACGCACTTGCAGCACTTACAGCAGCGACCACACACCGCCGAGATGACGCGATCCAAAGGCTTCATGGAGTGCATCCAATCGGGGAGGAAGTTCCAGGTCTGCAGTGACGACGGCAGGCACTTTGGACACTTGGACTGAGACACGTTGATAACAATGATGAAGATCAGCACAGCTACTATGGGGATACAAACGCCCACCAAGATCTGCCATCCAGCTATCGACAGGCCGAATATCACCAGTGGCAGCACCAAAAAGCACATGACCAGGTATAGGACGGCAAACCAGCGGTACTTGGCCGTACGGTCACCCAGTAGCTTTGCCATCCTGATGGGGAAACGTAGCTGTGGTATTGGGTACCACAGGATAATCCCCGAGATGTTGAAGAAGAAATGGCAAAGTGCGATCTGTGATGAGACGAAATGGGAAAAAAAAACAAATCAGCTCGTGCATCACAAGCCCTCAAACTTGTCTTGTCGGCATCTTTTAAAAAAAATATACAACTTAATTAACCTTTTCTTAATTTTGATTTAAATTTTGATTTAAAGCTTTCGTGACTGCAGTAATTCATATTCTTAGTTTTTTCGGTAAAGTCACGTTGAAGAGAAACAACAAAATAACAAAATATATATAAAACAATAAAAAATTCTCACGACGTTTTGACCATAACTCAAACGGTCATCATCAGGTGTGTCGGTTTGCATAAATTTATTTTTAAAACGGCATATTTATTTATTTATTTATAAAAAATAACGTTTGCGTCACGCGCAACGATTGGCAGTTTGCCCAGGACTAGTCCATCTATTTTTTGAAAAGAGGAGGGGGGAGACGAAATTTGTTTTTATGTATGCTGTCTGAAAGCCACTGTAAGCGTGAACAATCAATCAAGAACTGAAATGATTTATCAAATCTTTCCAATGATTGCTAAGATAGAATCCATCTTCTCAGTTGAAATTGTCTCTGTGCTTGTATATGTGGAAACAAAACCGCCAAATACATGACAATCTCATTTGTATCAATGCTAAAATAACTGATTACCAATGGTAATAAGGTGCTATACATTTTTAAAAACATCGCGAGTTTTGCTTAAAATTTTTTTTTTAAATGAGAAATGGGCTGCTTATGTAGTACAGTATAACATTAAATAATGTAATTTCTCAAGGAAAACTGACTTCATAAAGTTCACAGTGGTAAAACCATGTAATGCGCTGCAGGACCATATTTTATAGCTTCTCATTAGAATATTTAACAAAAAACTTCGAAACTCTGAATTATATATATATTTTTTTACATTATGGTGCTTGCATACAGCCTTTTTTAAAATAAAATTGACATAATTGGCCGTTGTACGATAAACAAGATTAGAATACATCATAAATATGGATACAACATTTATTGCAAACCTGAAGGGCATTGTTGAGAGTTTCTCCAGGACTTGCCAGTGCAGCCAGGAGGGCTGTTGTGGTCGTCCCAATGTTGGAACCCAGAGTGAGTGGATACGCTCGTTCAATGCTGATGACTCCAAGTCCTGAGCAAGACATGGACCATGACAGTAGATATGCTTACGTGCTGTATTCAGGTCAAGTTCCGAGCAGTATTATTATCACAGCAGTCGTGAAAGGAATGACTGTCGTCATCATCACCACCGTTAGCCATGAACTGGATAAAGGCGCTTCCTCAGCCATCGCTCTTCTCAGTCATGCGATGCAAGAATCCAACTAGCTTCTGCATAGGCCATTTCATCGCTCTATCTCTGCTACGGATATATTCTTCTCAGTGTTCTTTCCTTTAGTCTGCACGACTGAGCATAATCCCTTCTTGTGACATGTACTGCCAAAGACAACTTATTTTTCTTAACAGTGGAGATGTGTCAGATGCTCCATCTCCTTATGTAAAGCACTTGTAATTTGATTAAAATGATGTGCGGTTTTTTTATTGGTTAATATGGCACAACGTTCAAGTGTTGTGAATATTGGTCCATGAGACTCAGTTTCCCTTCCCAGTATAGCTAATATGTTTTACTTGACTGCAATAACTGTATCTCGTGGTCATTTTTCAATAGCAATAATTCCCCCTTCTCGTAGAATGTGAGTACTGTAATTCAGAATGCCATTGGCATTACTTGGTGACGTGACCGATTTGTAATTTGACATTGCTGAACAAAAACGTTAACACTGATTTATTTAGTTATTCATTAGATTTCTCATTTGCACCATGCAGTGGAAATCTTCCTATCTGATATCATGTAGGGCACAAGATATGGATGCTATTATACAGATTTATCCGTGCAAATTACTCATTTTAGCTGATCAGTGAAGCGGAAATAAAAACATACATTAGGATTGATTAGTTGTCAATTTGTAGACTTGAATAGAATGAATTGTCCACTTCTTATGAGTCACTCATCCACACAAATGCTTGGAAAATATGAAGAATTAGTGCATTATAATCATATTAATGTAGTACATTTGGCTATCATTCATGGCTATTGTGAAGCCGTTTTGTTTGATATCAGCTGCAGTAGTTTCACAGTAGGGGGTGATGTTGCTATGCGTTATGCCAACTGAGTAATCTGCAGGTGTTTTTCTTTTCAAATTAGAAAAAATTGGTCCATGTTATCAGCACTCAATGACCTAATCTGGTTAAATGACAACACCCGCTGGATCTTTAATATACACTGTGAAACAGACGGCATGGAATTTAAAATGTAATATACCAGCAGTAATATTTACCAGGGTGGCCGGCTGGGTTCGGACCAAGAACCTCTGAAAAAAGTGGCGAATGCACTGTCGTTGGGCTATGTTACCGCCCACATAATAATAATAGCAGTTTGTACAAGCACTGCCTCTTTTGTTAACCTACTGCTGGATTCGGACCTCTCCACACTTTGAGGGTCATGATGGGCTATGGTGGATATTTGACCATATTTCATCATGCTGGTTGTTACGGGTTGGTGACGGTGGACAGATTGCAGAACTATTACACTGCCCACAACGCGTATTGCATCTGTATTTTGAGCATTGGTTGCCTATCCATGCACTATCCAGGCTCAGCTCTGCTTAGATACTGAGATTTAATTGCATTGGATGCATTCCGTGTGATTTAGTAAGTGGTAATAGCAGTTTATGCAGATCAATTACAATAGACAGATAATATTAATTATTCATAATATGTATATAGAATGAAGAGGAGTTGCACGGTACATGCAAATCGATTCCATAAATTAGCAATGATCATTAATCATTACTGAACTGGGAATTTGTTGAGATAAAAAAAAGCCTTACCTATGAGTGGAGTGATTGCTGAAGTGAAGACTGAACTGCTCTGTACTATGAATGTCATCCCAGCTCCAACCAAGATTGCGAGGTAGCCAGTCACCCAAGCAAATGGGAAAGGGAAGTCTGAAAAAAAAAGGTCAACAATCAGTTTGAATGAGAGCAGCACACTGGCAACAACCTTCCAAGTTTAATAAAATGCATGTGAACTATCCCTAACTGTGATTTCACATGGTAACAGATTAATAACTCCGTCAGCGTTGTGTTTGTAACGCGAGCATACAAAATAGATAAAAATAATTAGTGTAGTGAATTCTGGATGTGCCACATATTACTAGCAGAGCAAGTCATTGGGGTAATTTGACAGTACTTCATCACATTGTTCAGTGCAGTTTGGTGAAGGTGGATGGCATAGATGTCATACGATCGTACAGTACAACAATTTATTTTTCTGCACTGCTATCTGCTTATAACGTATCCCAGCCCATCCAAGGATTTTTCAAGCTAACTCTGCTTAGCTTCCCAGACCAAAAGAGATTGTGCACATTCTATGTCATTTAGTTATAGGCACACGTGGTGGGAAGGGCCATGGGGGGCGGGGCGGGGCGGGGGGTGGGAGAATAAAATGCAGAAGATGAGAGACAGTCACAGGTTTGACCAATACACGCACACACCTGTATTGAGGACCTTCCTGATGACGGATGCGATCTGACCCTTGAGCATTGTGTTTAGGACCTTGACTATCAGGATGAGGCACGTGCATAGCAAAAGCAGCGAACAGGCAAGCAGGATGAGCCCCACGGCGAGGTCTGACAGCGTGGTTGAGGCAAATATGTGAGTACCTGTGGGCAAACGACATCACAAAACTCATGTCCATGCAGACAAAAAATCACCCACTTGGCACACTGTGGCAACATACATGTGCACAGGTCCACAGGTCGCATCGTCGGGAGCATTAGCGCAGCAGCGTGCCGTGCTATGAACCCGGCGACCCGAGTACGATTCCAACACCAGTGACAATGATGTGATTCGGTCCTGGACCTCCCCTAGGTCGACTCAGCGTCACATAAGTACAATGTGTACACATAGCCACTGGGGAGACAAAGGCAGCCGGGCGTGGTGTTGGCCACCCGCCCCCTCAAGTGCCGTGTCAGGCTTTATTGGGTACTCGCTAACAGCACTTGCCCCAACAGTCGGTTACTGTCTATACGGGGGATCTTTGTCTTTAGACTATTATCGCTGATATATTTTTTACATATTATTATTTTAAACATTTATGTGAGGTATTTTAACTTCATGTGATATCTACCCAAAATGCAGAATACCCTATATGATATTTTGCAGTTGCTTATGGCAGAGAATTAAGCATATGATTATTAAATATTAAGAATGAAGTCCGAATCAGCTGCATATGACACGTGTGCTGCTTTTGAGTTATATTTAAACAATACATTTTAAAATGGCACATCTGTTTTAATTTATCTGTATAGAGTGCCCCTTACTTTCGAGGCAATTTGGCAATTATACGCATATCTGGAAGCAACTCGTAAATACCCAGGGCACGTACATTTTTCTATGTAGTCGGTTTCTGTCACGTTTTTCTCCATCCAGGTGAAATTTCCATCTTCCCAACACATGTTGCCACACTCAGACACGTTGGCCACGGTGACATTTTTCAGAACCTGATAGGCGAACAGACAAATTGTTAAGTTGTTTTTGTATTGAAGCAAGAGTGGTCGTGTTGAATGATATGCTGATGAAACAAGTCGTCGAAAATGTGCTTGTATTTTTTCTACGCCTTTTATACTCAAGATTTTTTGAAAAATATTGGACAAAAAAGGTTGATTTTTTTTAAAGCGATGATGGTTAATAAAAAAAAATTACGCAAGATAATATTTTTATAATTTCCTCTAAAATTATTGTATAGTGTATAGTGTTATACTGCATGTCTCTTTTTATACAAACCCAATTTAATAGACTATAGCACATGTCAAGTAGAAAATAATGGACGTAAATAAAGGATAGGATATTATAGAATACCAACATCACGGTTATGATTTTAAAACCAGTATTATATGTATAAAATGTTTTGCCATTTTTATGATTGATTTTTTTCATGATTGGCAATTGCTTAATTGTTGTTGTTCTCGATAAACATGTTTGTTATATATATTTAAAAAACACCAGTTCTTCTATTGTATTGTGGGGAGTTGATCAGCGAGGTGAATTTGTTCATGTTGAGGTTGGTGAGCCAGTGAATGACTTCAGGATATGCCTGGTTAATATCTGAAATTCTGCCAGTGAATGATTGCAACCGGAGTTGTACTTTGTGGTCCATAATCGCACTGTGGGCTATGTTAAATTGTCCATTGGTGTAGGACAAGGGTGGGGATCGTCGGGCCCACGGGCCGTATAAGGCCCGCAAAATCATTTGGTCTGACCCTGCCAAGGCAACCGCAGGCGGGACTCGAAATTCAATAAATCTAGGAGCAAGCCTGGAAAAGCAGTTGCAAATAGCAACATCACCAATACCAGCTAACATCATCGCACGCCTCGCCAAAGAGAAGCAGTTCCAGCCATCGCGTTAGGGGTGAGTTAATAAAATGTTTGACCAAATATAACAGGCACATTTTTAAGTTGATCATTTTGTATGGCCCGCGAATGATGTTATAAATATGCAAATAGCCCTTGGCAGAAACAAGGTTCCCCACCCCTGGTGTAGGAGATAGCCAGACCTGCTGATCTCCTGTTATGATCAGCATTTTATCGGTACGAATAAAATAGCATAACACCAATCAATAAACTCAATAATTCAGATATGTCACACTTACTGTATATGTGTTCTTCTTGCACCAGAATTTAATGAGTCTTTTGTTCTGCGCTTCTGGTTCCCCAACTGCAATGTCTGTGAGCACCGAGCTATCGAGCTGCGAAAGGTGCGGGGGAAATGGGAGGACGTGATCATTTGTGGGCAGCGGTGGTGCATGCCTGCAATCCAGAACTGTGAAGGCGAGAGTTAGTGGAGCACAAAAGCATTGCGAAACTTCATTCTTGCGGTCGTCGATGAGCAATACCGTGCTGACCAGGAATAGGCGGTACAGAAAATGTGGACTAATCTCAATCTATATGGAAATAGTTAGTGTTTCCCCCTCACATACGGGGATTTTTGTTTCTTTCCGGGTGCTCCTGTTTCTTCCCACATGTATAAACACTCAATCGTTGCCCGAAAACATCTTCATCTATGTGCATATCCGTGTTTGTGGATTGCGCGGCCTTGTGTGATGCAGTTGCATAAGTTACGCCGTAGAAAAAAATTTCGTTATTATTATTATTTCCATTTGCATGTTACGGTTGCCTATGTGCAAATCATCCGTAATGCGCTCGATCTTGTCAGCAGGGTTTGAGCCTGGGTTGCGCTTGGATGTGTGACTGTCGTGCATTAAGCAGGTGCTATAGACTGCCCCGCTACTTCTATGCTCCCCACCTTCGCCAATCCACACTGACCAGTGTGGTGAAGTATGGTTAAATTATCCCAATGATACGCATGGCATGGGGAGGGCCTCACTTAGCAGTCGACTGACAAAAGCGCAGTGTGTGTACACATGTTAAGGCTGGGTAGATTGGAACACATAAAGGTGACCGAATGCACGGCCATTTAAACTGTTAAATTATCATGCACATGCGGAACGACATAAGTTCGTGTATCTAGATCTATAACAGAATTGGACGACCGACTGACCTCTACAATGCCTTCCACTAGCAAAAGGATAAAACATTTCCCCATTGCTATAACTGTGGTCAATGACCATGGTGGGAGTGGTATTCTGAAGAAAGCTTTCAACAGCCACCGCGGAAGACGATAGAGCTGCACATTATTTACCTGAATGATGAGCTTGGTGAGAGGCTCAGTGATGACTTTCAGGATGTCAGGAGCGTCTTCCCCATTTTCAATGTTGAATGAGTCAATAATAAGCTTTGTCAGGTGAAAAAGGTAACCAGAGGCAACCTCAATGGGCAACAGGACTATCACGGAAATCCAGTTGAAGCAGTCATGCACCGTTGCACCACCAAATGCTCTGTAAGACACACAAAATACTAATAAATGTAACCAATAATGCATGCATCCATGCATGCATGCGCAGTACTGAAATAGTACAGTTACCTGTTTTTAAATTTAATTGAATACACTAGGAAGCTGCCGTAATATAATGGTGAGCACACTGGACACCCAATTCAGAGGTGACCGGTTCGTTCTTGTGGTGTAGCAGTTGAAATATTGGGAAAGATTATTAAAATGTTCCCACTTTTAGCCTACCCCGGAGCATAAATGGGCACACCACAGTCAGTCGATCGGCAAGTCACATATGGTAGGGTAAAGTATGGGTACCCACCTCTTCCAACCCCTCTGGCCAACGTGCAAGAGTAGGCCAATTTCCCTCTAGAGGGGCTTGCTAAAGAGGTTTTTTCTGCCAGCCGTAGCATGAGCAAGCAATTGCAAGGCTGCACTTTTACCATAGAATACCTTACGATTCGAGGGCATAAACTGTCCGAGTGTAACCAAATTTCAAGATACTGTACTGCATAGGAAGGGAGAATTGCACATTTAATAGGATTGAGGAAGAGAATGGATTTACAGGAGCTTATCTTTCAGATAATAGTTCGTTTTAGGATACTATAGGCATACAGGGATATCAGACGAAGCTATGGTACGTTGTGAATGAAAATATATTTTTTTAGAGATGCGACAGTTAGTCATAGGCACTGTAAAAAGAGTAGAATGCTAACCTTGAATTGGTAGAACAGGTAAGGACAGAAAATGAGGGGCAGGGAATTCCAGGCAATGGGGGCCATTAGCAGAGGAGCAACCTCCCTTCGATTGGAGGTTTACTCAGGGTTTTGACAGACGCCCTTGGTTGTAAGCACAGAGGGTACGTGGAAGCGAGTCGATGCAGATGATATGGGCAAATTGAGTCCATGCAGGCTTTCAAAGTGAGAGAGACTCCACTATCCATGATACCATGCTGTCATCGTGCTTTCCCTCCAATATAGTAATGTGTTAGTTGGTACGCATGTGATATTATTTAGTGCACTGTAACATAGTTATGTTATGGTGTCTGGTATTAATAATATTAAACAATTATTTCATTGGATAGCACATACATTGCGTGAGTATCAGATCACTTAGAATTCTGTACTTTTTCACAAACCAATGAGATCATATTCTAAAATGAGACATTCATAATTAGTCAATCAAAACCAATTAATTTAAATACAAATTGAGTCACATTGGAAACATTCCTATGTATGATTCACTCAGCTATGTTTCATTTTAACTATGTCCTTGACTATAGTTCCATCAACTAACCGAACCTTAATATTTTTTTAAACATCTAGGGAGTTTTACTCACACACTGCTTAACTATTCCGTGAGCAATCATGCAGAAGTGCAGATTACTTTGATTTATTCCAGCCCACGAGGCAATGGCCAAATGTACAAACTGGTCTCATTGTCCCTTCTATTCCCACACATGTTATGTTTTGCTTCAAGTACAGCTTGCGCAAATAATCAGCATGAATAATAATAAAGCCCATTTTATAACGGGAACACAATTCGTGTAGCTAGTCGCTCACGCCAGTCAGAGGATGATGCGCTATGAATGCTCGTCGTGCGAGCGAGGTCCACCGATTTGCACTTTGATGACCCACACACATACACAGTACGGTATAGTGCATTGCCAGTCGCAGTCCCAGTGAATTGAACTGAACAGGTTTTCCTGTAAATTGTGTACTGGGATTGTAATGATTTCCTGCATTGTGATTCAACATTTGTTTGTAATTCGAAGTCACATTATAATTCAATAATCGCTTCTCTTTTTGCATTTTGGTAAATGTAGTGGCCTCGAGTGACCAGAGGGAATCACATAAACCCATTAGATGCAACATTTACAAATCAAAAAACCCCATAAATTCAAAACATTTGATGAATGTTTTGCGAGTGAGAAGAATGCATATTAAATCGATGAAACCATGCATAATTACTCCCCCAGTGTGTATGATTGTGGCTGTGTGATCTGCCACGTGTTATCCACATTTTTTTAATTTAGAAAGATTTTACATTCATACAACCCCTCGTAGGAAACGTCCAAATATTTTCCCCCTGGTCGTTTTGTCTGGACATTTTTAATCGAAAAAAAATGTACAGCCCTTTGTCAATATGCTGCTGGATGAAGACTTCCCCATGCCATGTTGTGATGCAGTGTGCTAGCCAGTGCGCTACTGCTCTACCGCTAATTAATGCTGCATATCCATACTAACTGTATGGCAGTAGCAAAAAATATAAAATATAAAGATGCAACTCTGATAAATGTGTTGCTCCCACCACTGCTATTACAGCCAGAGCTTGCACGTGCTCCTCGAGTGGGTATTGCCTCTTCCATGCTGGCCAGATATCTTAGAAGAGGTGGGAGTAATCATACTTTAGCCCACCAGATTCAACCTCCCAATCGACTAACTGCAGTGCACACGTGTTTTATAATGCTACGTTGACAGTGGAGTAGGGGAGTGGGGGTGTCGGTGGTTATTGAAGAAACTTGCATCATTATTACAACTGCCGCACCGGGAGATTGAAGCAGTCCATTGACATATGTATTCAAAGTTCAGAATGCTCACCGTTACTCCACGGCAGCATCTCATTATCCACCCGTACGTTGTTTTTTTAACACAATGACTATGCACGGTATCATTTTATGTTCTCGGCTTTCACGGCTGTATGGATTCATAGCGAATGGATATTCGGGTTAGCTGTGTGGGGATATCCCCAGTGTGTGTGTGGAGCATTACAACTAAAGTTACCTCCTGAACTGATTCCTGTCGCCCGACTGCATGAGAGCCACGATGGTGTTCGTCACCGATGTCCCAATGTTGGTGCCCATGATGATTGGAATGGCTGACCGCACGCTCATAACTGTTCAATAGAGAATACAAAAATATATTCATCTTTCCGCTGCTTTTTCCAAATATCAATTTGGACATTTCGGCCCAGGACAATGTGTTTTTTTCGATTAGATCAATCAATCTTGTGTCACTGACGCAGTACTGTAGACCATTGTGCTGGTGGACAGAAATTTCATTGCATAATTCAATTCCATGACAATACTATAATGTTGGTTATGTAATTGACATTTCATATACAATTAATGGCATCTTCAAATCATATTTTTGTATTATCACTGTATCTAAAACCAGGTCGGTAATATTTTGGCACTTGCATTTAGTATTACTTATAAAAATGTGAATTTCAATGCAAGACATTCATTTTACACATTTCAGTTCGTAACACTTTAACCAATTATGCCAGTGAGGATCACTGTATTCGTGTGCTGTGAAAGGGAGTACATGTGGGTGGATGCACATTGATAAAACTGGGCTAGGAATGTTTTTTTTGTTCAAGGAGGCTTACTCAGCCCCCGTTGTGATAAAACAATATTTCCACATTATTCACAATAGATCCACGTAGCCAGCTTCACACAGTGTGCTGTACAAACTTGCAATGCACCCACCACACTTTAGCAGCGATGACATGGGGAGAGTGCGGCAACCACCTTCACGGGCACAGAATTGTTGGGGACGAATAAAGCAGTGGAGGCCGTTGATTCAAATGTTTATAGGGGTGGGTGAGGGGATGGCAACTTTCTCCGGATGCCAAAATGTTGCGCCCTGCGGCTCTGTTTGCACAACACTGTACGAACTGTTTCCAAGTGCATGAACTTGTGTGAGGTCCCTATTGAAAGCTCACCCGGCCCTGACAAGGGTTTTATTTTGACTCGGTGTCTCTATATTGAAAATGATGACACACAATACAATCTCAAGTGACAGAGATAAAATTCTGTGCTGTGCACAACAGTAGCCATTTTGAGTACAAACTATTAAAATCAAGCACAAACTCCAGTGAATCGATATCAGCACTTCGGAGACAATGGCGTATACCGTAGATGTGCAAGGTGGGTGCCGGACCAATCACTGTCTTGGTTGCTTCGCTGACCACAGTACAGAAAATGTACCTTTTAAAGTATTTGCAAAGTTTCAGTTTGGCAAGCGTAAAAAAAGCTAGGGGAGGTTTTTTTGTTTGTTTTTGTTTCGCGAACGGGTGCACTGGGGCGCACGCTTGTTGGAGGTGTGTGGGCTGCTGTGCACGTTGTGCCACGCACGTTCAGAGGAGACCATGCTGACGACGATGGAGGTGGAAGTGCTGGAGCTCTGCACCAGGATAGTCACCAAGATTCCGATAACCAGGCCGGCCACAGGGTTGGACAATATCGAGTTGTCACTGAAGATATCACCAGCAACCTTGCCTGCCACAGAACAGAAAAGTGAGGTTTGTGTAGTGCGTTCGTGTAACTTGCCAGTATATCAGCAATGATATGCACTTTCGTGGGCATTGTTTTTACGAGTGGATTCGTAGACAACAAATCGTGTGTCTATAAAGATGTACATTTAAGAGTAACTAAAAGGATAACATATATTTAGCTCGCTACTATTCACGTTGAGGGAGCGATATCTATTTTAGTGATTTTGGACGGCCACCATCTAACCTCTTTCCAGAATATCTAAGCCTCAAAAATGTGAGATGCAGACGAAAGGTGTCAAATTCCAATAGGGTACTGCAGTTGGATTTTAACAGCAGATTACCAAGTACGACAGAACATTTTATTTATCTAATCTCCTCTGGTTGGGGAAAAGGTCGACTGCATTGAAATGTGGAGGTTCTTATCTCATTCCAAGTTACCATTGCTTCAGGGCAAATAGGTTAGGGTTTATTTGTTGAAGGCTAATGTGATTGATCAGCAGCAGGGGGCTATGTTGATAATACGCAGTCCTGGGTTGAGCCATTAAAAAAACGAGCTTAGCACATTAATTAATAATTAATGCAGGTTACTGCTTCTTGAGGTATTCTAGCCACAAGACTTTGGAAGTTACTCAATAGCCAAAGCCGTAGCTGGGACTGGCCCACACCACACCATGTGACATAATTTACCTTACACCAGCAATGTAACCTTTCCTCCCAAATATGGAAACAAGTTACTTATCAGTGCAGAGTGTTTTGTGTGTGTGTGTATATATATTGACCAAAATTTACACTGGACGTTTCAACTGTCCAAGTGTTCGCATGATGTGGCCAACATGTACGGCCTATTCAGATGAGCACTTAACATGAGAAAAGCAACAACAGGTGTTGCATTCTCACACCAACTAAAAATGGTCGGAAACCAAAGCGTTGACCGAGTCGCTTGGAATTGGTTCCCTACCTCCCACCAGCTGAAAGGCTGAGCCCAGGACGTCCAGAGAACACACGAAGAAGTAGAGGAGGCCGAGCAACAGCACTGGCTTGATGATGCCCGACAGGACTCGCTTTACTTTCCCTGACGTGCTCATCTCTGCAACAAAAACAAAAATCCAGCCATCCCAACTTATTACTCATTTTTTTGTGTTAAACGTGTCGTCCTTCACCCCCACGCCTCCGATTTGCACGGTTGGCTAAGTACGGTGCGAAAGAAGTTCAACGTACGTACATACACGTAATCTTAAGGCCCTGAAAACACAATGTGATTTTGGAGAAAATCGATGGGTGTGATTCTATAAACAATGTTTATTATATCATAATCGCATCATCATTGCACCGTGACATTGGTCTCAATGCTGTTGTTGCACTCTTGTCGCAACCCAATTAAAATGTTGCAATCAGGCACGTTAGCAATATTAAAGCATTTTTTCCAGCTAGTGAGCAAGGTTTGCTGGGATAATAAAGATACCCTTATCAATTGTGTGATCTGATTGGTCATCTTCCCTACAATACTGTATTGAATGGCCATTTGAACACTTTATATGCAGTGATTGATGTCTATGGGTGAATTAATACAGTTTTACAACGAGCACTGCTTAATCGTGGTTTTTGTTTAGCAGCGTTGGTAAATGCTGTTCTGTTCTTAGGAATAAGTTTAATGCTTATATCAACACCTCCCCCACCTCCGCCTATGAAAACAGTGCTCCCTCGTGCAAGATTTGACAGCGGTCATGTGAGTTTGCTTCTCCGGCCGCGGCTAAAGTCAGTGGCGGGTGATGTCACTCGGAGGTTGTCTGGCCATGCTTCAACCACGCTGCTGCCTCAGTGAGGTGAACTGCACCCAAGAAGAGTGAGCTGGCAGAGTCATAGGCGGAGTATGGCTTCTATATTGGGGGGGGTGGGGGTGACAGGCCGGAGTTTGCTATGTCCCTCACATTAGCAATTGTGGGTGCATGTAATTTTTTAAAATCTTAATTGTAATTGTACTGAAAATAAATTAATAAACGTGCCCAGTTTGGAGGGGGGGCAATGCCCCCCCCCAAACTCCACCCATGGGCAGAGTGGAGGTGGGAGGAGGAGAGGGGGTTGAAGTCAGGGGAAGACAGCCACACGTGTGGACCTCACCTGACCACTTGATGCCAACCTCCATCTGTATGTCCGCGATTTTCCAGGGGTCAAACTCCTCCTCCGTGTCCTTCGACCCCTCGTCCTTCTCGCTCTCCTCATCCTCCTCGCCCGACTTCACCAGTGCCATCTGGGATACGGCCGGGTCCAGGGAGCCGAGCTCGGGGTCCATGCTGGCATCGTACCCCTTGACTTCGCCGTGGCCATGGCCATTGGCCGCACCCTGCCCTGTGCGGTGAAGGCCACGTGGAAGACCATGACACATCATAGGTTGAAAGCAAAAGTCTTCCCACATTGCAAAACACAGGTACGTTTTACGTTTTTAATCCATCGCGCGTTATTGAATTTCTAGAGTGATATTAATCAGGCAGATACGTTTTAAGCAGACTGGACCGAGTTTGAAATCTGGGTCCCATCAATTACCAGATGTCATTGGCTAGAGCAATACATATCAACTATGGGACCCCATGTACCGCAAAAGCAATAACGCATGGTGTTTTAAAACATGTTACGGCGGCTTCCAATTGATCAACATTGATTCTTAATCTCACGATACATGCATCGAATCATGCGCGGTGCAGTCGATATTTTTTTTTTACACTCGTACGTTCTAATCGCAGTACAGGAGAATCCCTCTTATCTGCGGTCATATAAGAGACCAATATCGCGGCTCCGAGCATCAGCGGGGTCATCCTCGATGTTCCTCCTCTTATCCGCACGTGAACATTTTTTTTTTGCGGACAACTCCGCGGACAATAGCGCAGCGGCGGGGGGCGTGGGGGTGAATCCCAAAATGTTGACACTCATGGTGCCGCAAAGACACGCGTCTTTGTCTCTATCGCCGATAAGCACGTGCGGTGCCAAAGAAGTTCAACATACATACGTACCTGTGCCGTAATAGCGGCGTAAGTGCAGAGACACACAGACACTCTAAAAAGACACACTGACACGGAGACGCACACACGTACAGACACGGAGACGCACAAGTCACAAAGACAGAGACACCGACAGTACACGAGTCTCTCCTCGTGTACTGTAGGTGTCAGGGGCTAGCGACGTTTGCGGTCCTGGCCCACTTACAGGAAAGGGTGTTTCCCTGTCTCTCTGTCTTCATGTCTTTGTGTGTCTCCGTGTGTGTGTGTCTCTCTCTCTGTCTCTTTGTGTGTGTGCATATCTCTCCTTGTTTGTTACCGTGTTTCCGTGTTTGTCTCTGCATGTCCGTGCCTCTGCGAGTGTATTCGTGTCTGCGTTTTATATTGATCACAGCGAGTGCCGCCCGTGCACTTGCTATGACCGTGGCATTGCTTTCAAAGTTAGGGATATCAGAAAGCAATGGGGGGCCTCTGTTTATTTTTTTCCTGGACCTTACAGCTGTCAAACAGGTAATCGTGCGGCAAATAAGAGGAGTTCTGTTAGTTTGTGCCATCGGAGGCCCTTCACATTCACGCAACAATGCCAATAGGTTTGGTTTTATGTTCCATTTCATTCGAGCTGGTTTGCAGAAAAATAACTGACGGCCACGAGCGGTTCGCACGAAGGTTGTGTTCTTGAAAAACACAGCAAGTGCATTAATAGGTCAAAAGCCGGAGAAGAACAACGTTTGTTTAAATTTTCAGGAAATCTGTCACCAGTCCGCCTTGCATGTGCGCAGTGATGCAAAGTCTCCAGACTATATAACTTAACGCTGTAAACGCTGGGCAATTGACGAGATGGTTGAGTGCGGCATACTTAAGATTAACGGAACAAACTAACGCCAAAATGGATCGCAATGAGCGTTTGGTTCAGGCGATTATAAGCGACTGACTAGTTCAGCCGACTCAATCCGCACCTCCGATTAAGCACGGTTGGCTATGTACGGTTCGCAAGAAGTTCAACATGCGGTGCATAAATACAGAGGAGAGATCGAGTCGTGACATCAGCGCACGTGGGGCGAACGCGTAAACGTGAACATGTCTTCAATGTCCATCCATCTGGAGATGAACACTGGTTGATGATTCAACGTATACGTATTAGAATTATAAAAAATGTATTAAAAAATTTAAATTGAGTCAAAATGTTACTTAAAATGCATACTAACAACGTTTTGGAATGCGTAAAATCAAGTGTATTTGTTGTTAGAGTTAGGTCGTAAGGGAATGCGGATGCGATGGGGGGGAGGGGGAGATCGCCCCACATCTTCGAGAACCAGAAACTTCCTACTTTATTGATATATTAGTTTTTTTTGCCGAATGATATTGTGCTTAGTACAACCGATACTTTGATACGAAATAAATGAGCACCGTTCGTAACAAAAATGTACCAAATAATTGACATTAGATCGAAAGGAATGTACATTCAAATGTAGGGAACGATTTTAAAAAGCTTGACATTTTCGTTCCTCCTTGGTCACCTCTGGGGCAATGTGGACGTCAGCTCGTGTACGCGGGAACCTTACCTTCAACATCATCATCGTAAATGGTTGCTTCGTCCACCTTGTCGTTGATATTGGGAAGAGGAGCCATTCCTTTGTGATCAAACGAAACATTCGTCCACGTGTTAATTCACCGGTCAGTGTAACAACAGGTCACGACAAAACCGATCTTACAAAGAAAAACAGGAACATAACAATGTAGTGTGTAATAAATGGTCGGATAATTATGTGTTTAAGTACGTGAAAAATATCCTTGTAAAATTAGTCCAATAGACATACATTTTAAATACGTGTAACAAACCACAAAAATCAATCAAGACCTTCGTACGTAAAATAAGCTGGTTGAGTGCAACCGTTTTGGCTAAACATTTCATGTTCAACGCTCAAATGATTGAATCCTGAAAACGATGTAAAAATATCAGTAATTGTACCTGTTGGTCACACACGGGCTACACGCAACGGTGTAAAGAGCCAGTGTACCTGGAGTATAATTGGTCGAACATGTAACAAACTTTAAAACAAATATAATTAGATTATAGTGTTGTCCACACGCTACTAAAAAAAAAAGATAAATACACGCACATGGGCAAAACAAAAACACGGCAATATCTGTACACATTTAACAACACAAAAACACACCTGATGGTTACAGCAAATTGCAGCAAGCTCAGGCACACAACGATGTAGGGCAAAACGCGCTGCTGCTGCTGCTACTGAGTTGAGCTGCCGCGGGGAAGCTGAGGAATGAGTGGCGAAGCAACGCAATTTATACCCCGAGAAGCGATCAAAGTCTTAAATGTAGCACGCACGGTGCGGGTGCCGCAACACGAGGATTTGCACGGGGCGGTCTCCTCGATGTCTGGTTAATCATCCTCAGGCCACGCCTGGCTATTCAGTGGGGACGGGGAGGGGGGCAGGGGAGGAGGGGAGGTGTGTTCGTTAAAACCACAGGCGTTGTCACTGTGATGGGCACGGGTCGTTACGCGGATTTGAGGCTGGGGAAGATATTCGCGGTGATGGGAATTGGCTGCTTCGTTATGATCATTGTTACCATCGTCATCACAATCATCAATATTGTTCGATGTGCTTTTATATAGATCTGTTTTTTTGCTTTGCGGCATTTTGAGATTTTTACCCTGTTCTCACTTTAAAAGAGACAATTCGTCTCCATTGGGTTTGACCTGCATGGTTCTAAATGAATAATTAGATTTTATATTCATTACACTTTAAACGGTTCACGTAGGGAGCAAAATTGAACTTATACAGTGCAATTAAATAATATACACAAAATCAAAACTGCCTTAGCCTTTAAGCAACTGCACGGATGCATCGTATTTTGCGAGTAAGCTTTACAATGGGCCGCAGTATGGGACAAATTGGTAGTGTCATCATTGTAAAAATCATGACATTGGTGTTCGAGCCCTGCTCTACCACGATTTAGTTTTTATTTACACGACTTATGAGGATTGTTAGTCTAATCTCTGCGATTAATTTGCAAACACGGCGAGGAATAGCAACCTAGTCAAGCAGGCAATGCAGTTACGTGAAGGGAGCAGTAAACTGGCTTTAGAGAAATTGACTTCTCTAAAACTTACATGAAATTGATTTCTCCAAGACGAAGGTACTATGCAAACCCACTGGCTATCAACAAAGATTTGTTCATGAAGCCATCCAGATATATAAACACAGACATAATTTCAACCGAGAAGATGGGTACAAACTGAGCAATCATTGGGAGGACGTTATTAACCAGGTTAAGTCATAACTGGCTGCGATGCTTCCATCCTACCTGCCTATGTTAGCAGTTATTTCCGACTCTCTGAGTTACATTACCTTGTTAAATGTCTTGACATTAACAGGCTAAATGTCTCAAAAAACATAGCTACTGATCCTTTTTCCTCGATGCGGCGATGGCGCTCGTTGTTTAATAAGCTGAATGTCTCTCTCATTAACACAGCCGCTGCTGCGGGAGCCGTCTCAAATTGACATGCTAATCTCTGATCTCGAGCAATACAATGGCTTCTTCAGCACCGTAACCGTGGGGTTACATTAACAGATTGACATGCTCATCTCTAGCAATACAATGGCCGAGGTATACCTAGCTCTGCGATCTTACATTTACTTGCAAATTCCATCTCTAGCCCCGTCCACTTACCCTAGGGTTGTACCCATCTCAAACTTATATAACCTTTGGCTGCAGTAGCTCTCTCCTGCCTCAGCAGTCCACCTGCTGTATTTTTTCACCTGAAGACGATTGCTTGTGTTGCGATCGAAACGTCGTGATTTTTTCATTATTTCATTATTTTTCTATCTACGTGACTTTACCGAAAGCCCCATAGAGTATAGCTTAAGAGAGTTGTTTGAAATATCACAGTGGATAAGCCTTTGCAGGCGTTAGTAAATGTGTAGGTTTATTCATGTTGGTTGCATAAGTTACTTGGCTCATGGGAGTGGGTTTTTTTTCTAAACGTTAAACAACTATGCAGTTCTGGACTCCCATATTGTACGTTTATATATTTGGTCATGTGTTACTGGAAGTAACTTTTTAGTTTTCATACTTTCTACATATTGTGCTTATGTAAACACTTTTAAATATGAAAGCTATGGAGCTATCATTTTAAATGAACTGGTCTTTGTCAATATGACAATACTACATCATGGGACCTCCTTTGCCAGTACTAAAATATGATAATAGGGTTTTCCCCTTTTTTCTGGCAACAAAACAGGTGTTAAGATGTTAAAACACCAAACTGAAATCTTTATACAAGGAATCATGTCTGCATCAACCACAATAATTGTGGTCAAAATGCAAACAAAAACACTGATAATATGATGCATTGTCTTTGAAACTGATTGGTCCACACCAGAGACAGCTTTCTTTTGAGCCTCATCTCAAACGGTGTTAGACCAGAGGACGCCAAAAAGGCATACTTTTTTGTACTTTTTAGTACGCCTTTTGGCGTCCTCTGGTCTAACAGCGTTTGAGACGAAGCTAAAAAAAAGCTGTCTCTGGTGTGGACCAATCAGTTTCAAGGACAATGCATATATTATCAGAGTATGTGTTTTGTTTTTATTCTGATCACAAGCATTGTTGTTAATGCAGACATGATTCCTTGTAAAAGGTTTCAGTTTGGTGTTTTAACATCTTAACACCTATTAACAAAATATATATAAAACAATAAAAAATTCTCACGACGTTTCGACCATAACTCAAACGGTCATCATCAGGTGTGTCGGTTTGCATAAATTTATTTTGAAAACGGCATATTTATTTATATATATAAAAATAACGTTTGCGTCACGCGCAACGATGGCAGTTTGCCAGGACTAGTCCATCTATTTTTTGAAAGGAGGAGGGGGGAGACGAAATTTGTTTTTATGTATGCTGTCTGAAAGGCACTGTAAGCGTGAACAATCAATCAAGAACTGAAATGATTTATCAAATCTTTCCAATGATTGTTTTATATATATTTTATATATTTTGTATATATTTTGTTATTTTGTTGTTTCTCTTCAACGTGACTTTACCGAAAAAACTAAGAATATGAATTACTGCAGTCACGAAAGCTTTAAATCAAAATCTTAACACCTGTTTTGTTGCCAGAAAAAAGGGGAAAAGTCTATTATCATGACAATACTAGTTCGTATGAATTCTAGTCTTTAGAAAAAAACTATATTCCTATATTACATCAAGTATGTACCGTATTACTGTAGTGCTTTCAATCGTGAATTTATGGACGGGCAAGCATGGACTGATAGGCCAGAGCAACACCTAACATAGACTGCAGCCAGGAAAACATGTGGAGAGAGTTGATAGCCGAGGCATCAGGGATCGTTGATAATGAGCATGGCATCGTTTAATGCAGTCTAGGCTAGTGCTGTAACTCCCGAGAGTATACTTGTGTGCAGATAGAAGAGCTGCAAGTCGAGAAGCAGTACTCGGAAGGGCCTTGTTGAGGGCCTTGTTGAGAGCAGGATGTTTACCAGCGTTTGGTGGCCCTTAAGTGGCGCTTTACTCCCTTTCTGGGCATGGTTTTCCCCGCAATAAATATACTTTGTGTAATTTACTATACACGTAACGGAACATCCAATCAGCTCATGATAAAAAGTATAGGTCCCTTAAAACTGTAAATACATAATATTGTCATAAACAGATCATACATACTCAAGCCCGATGTGTAAAGTTATTGCCACGAAGATCCTTGGGTTTGAATCCCGAGAGCGGCTCCTAATTAAAGCAGCTTCTCAAGTGTTGTGAGTTGATGATCTCAGCCTGGTCACCAATCCCTGTTCAAGATCATCCCATCAAATTTATATTGGGTTTGCACTTGATTTGGCTATATTTCAACGATGAGAATTAAAAATATTCTTTAAAAAATTTTGGTTTTACAATGGGAGCCGTCCTGTAAGAACTCTCTTATGCGATACATTCACTGACACGTAAGGATCTATGGGAGATTTTTGAATAGAGATTTCGTATCATGACGTGATTCCGATAGCACGATTGGAATAAATTAAGAAAAATAATAGGTAAACACACGACCCCAATACCAGTACAAGAAGCTCAGATCTTGTAGACGTCGTCTTTAGTTTTCTTTAGTCTTTTGCTATACGGCAGGCATTTGACTTAAACTCCCTCCATTCAGTCTGATCTTGAACATTCTTTTTCATTTCACCGTACATACCCTTTTCCGTAAAGTCGTAAAATGTTATTGTCTTGGTCTTGTCAGGATAGTTCTGATTATACGTACTGCTCTCTACTGAATCTGCTCTAGAATTCATAATTACTCTTTCTCTAAATTCAACTGATCCAACATTTACCACATCTCTAGACTTTCCAGTCTTTTTACATATTAGTTTCTCAAAGTTTCTGCCATATGCAACACTACACTCCACACTAGATTCTTCACGAGTCTCTTTTTCAACTGTCTGCTCATTCGCCTTGTTAGCACCATTGTTCTCTCACTGAATGCCACTATTCCCATGACAATCCAGCCAGTAATCTCCTTCAAGAATATGCAATCTTCAGTTATAATATTTCCAAATACAATCGTCTCAATTGTTATCTATGATATCCATCCACAGTAATTTATTCCCTTTTCCAACATTTACACGTGATGTTCACGACCAATATTTTGGTGCTCTCATTCTCACTCCATGGGCTGTGTGCCCTGAATAAAGTTACTAAACACCCCGATTGGCTGGGAAAGGCATAGTTTCGTAAAGGCTTTCCAAAGGTCTTGAATAATTTATGAAAATCTGAATTTTGTCCCAGTTTAAAATGTTCTGGCCCCATTGCTCGACTCATGACATTGTGAAAGTGCTGGGCTGCCTGAGTAATGGGTCGGGTTGACAGAAGAGTACTCGGGGTCTATGGGCAGTAGGCAGGGACAGCTTCAGACAGAGCAAAAAGGCCACTGTCAGTGGGGCAAGTGGTCTAGTGCGCATGGTTATTGAGAGTGGGCATGGCTGCTGACAGAGGAAGGGAGGGGCTTCCAGCTTACCATGTGTCCTTCTTTGAATTAAAAGTGTACGGGAAGACGCGCTCTAATGTTACCAACATGGCACCACTCGTCTACATTAGAATTTTTGCTGTCGCTAACTAACTTGAAAAATATATTTTCACGGACTGAATCGTAATATTTCTCATCGTTGCCAAGCACTGGCCCAAAGGGCCCAAAACGTCAAGTGTCCAGCAACGAAAAGCAGTATCAAAGTTGTAACCGATAAGAGTTAACACGTTTCTTGAATTGAGCAAGGTTACACAAGCTTGGGGAAAGAGATAATGGGAGGACATTTCAAAGTCGAGAATTGCAAGCTATAAAGGTAGATGTCGATCCATCCATCACGCATAACGGCTGTGAAGAAAGGTATTTTTTTGGGCTAGACACATGACTAGAAAGGGATGATCGCCGATGAACGAGGCTGGTGGTGGATGACCGGCAAAGCAGAGAATGCTTTCGCGAGCCAGCCACTGCGGAGATGGAGCAATGGGGTCAGCTCATGTTACAGGAGTTATATGAATTATGGCATCGAAGGACCATGACGGATGGCAAACGTGTGGGGAGGCCATCATCCAGCAGTGCATAGGCCACATCTGCTAATGATGAGGGGATGTGGTGGACCGTTATGCATTTGTGTGACTAAACTAAATAATTGTATTCTTAGCTCTTTCGGTAAAGTCACGTTGAAGAGAAACAATAAAATAATAAAATATATATAAAACAATAAAAATTCTCACGTTTCGACCATAACACAAACGGCCGTTTGTGTTATGGTCGAAACGGCCGTTTGTGTTATATTTTATTATTTTATTGTTTCTCTTCAACGTGACTTTACCGAAAGAGCTAAGAATATGAATTACTGCAGTCACGAAAGCTTTAAATAAAAATTTAAATAATTTGTATTTACCAGGTAAAGGCCAGAAGTGACCTGGCGTTAAAGTGGCTTATCACGTGGGAAATTTTTTAAGCCAAATAATCTAAACGCATGTTTCTAAAAGTGGAGGGAAAACCCAGAGGGCTTGGAGAAAAATCCACACGACCACGGGGAGAATATTCAAACTCCTAATATGTAACAGGCATCAGGGTCGGGATCTAACCCACGACCGCCTGCATACCAGGCAAGGGAGAAACATCTCGCCACTGCGGCGACCAATTCACACGAACAGGAATTATGTTAACATATTATGCGCGTGGTGACACGAGTTATGTCAACTTAACAGTCACGTAAATAGGTTACGTCTAACTCGTCGGCTCTCTCGACCAATGTCAACCATAAAATCTGTCTGCCGCCTGATGATACCGGTTGTAATTACTGGAAAAACGTCGTACTCAAGATTGTAAATGTTGTGGATTTGCTCTCCAACACAACGGTGTGCTGTACTAGTAACGAATTGGCATGTTTTGTTTACGTGACAAGCCTTACTAATTGGCTGTATCGGGTGGTGGCAGGTTTATTGACACATATGTATTATGGAGGTTACGTCTACACAAGACGTCGAATTAAGTTCATGCTTATGCGAGGCGGAGATTGCTTTTCGTGTGATCACGTTTAGTCTCGTGTTGTGAAAAAGGAAATTAACTCCGAGGCATGAGGCAAGCAAACTAAAACTTTACTGGACTGCAAGGAGGTAACACCATGTCAATAGCCAACTAAAAATAGTGGAGGCTCGGCTGCATGGTGTTGGTGCCATGACGGGTATGTGTTTCACAAGCGCAACACAACATTCTGTCGACTCCGCAAGCGTTGAAACTGACCCTGATGTCAGGCGGCGCATTGGAGCAGCGGTGACTGCGAGAGCGCTCGGTGACTTATCCCTCCCTGCCAGCCATCTCTCTGCCACTGAGAGAACGGTGGGCCGAGGAGAGTCAACAGGCAAGGATACCGTACCAGCACAAATATATATTTAACCCAAGGCTGCGCGGCTGCACTCTACAGACATCATCATCGGTACGTGGACGCAACTCCGAGAGGCTTCGTGTTTCGTGTCTGCGCGTGTGTGTGTCGGTGTGGTTTTTTAGTGCAGCCGTTTCACGGCGTATGCGGCAGCGGTGATTTTAAGGCCACGGACATTGCTTTGCCGTGCTGCTGTGCTGGCGTGGACTGCGCCCGGGGCGCGTGAGATCGGTCGTGCCGAAACGCACACACACAGGGGGTGGGGGATCGATACGCTTTTGCCTTTCAGGGGGTTGGGGAGGGGTCATTGCAGGGTCGTTTTGTCTCGTCGCTTATCCACACCGGACAAACATCCTCATCTCGGTCTCCGCTGACAACGTGCCTATCTACCTACTCATAGCTGCGGATCAGGCCCGTTGCGGTCAATGATGATGATGACGACGACGCTGTGAGTGTTGGTGCGTTGAGCGCCGCTTCGAATGCGTCTTTAGGATTTGGTCCCATGGAGTTGAAGTTGATCGCATAACATTTGTGAAATATTATTGTTATTATTATCCAATCGAGTATTGATTTTATGTATTTTTTTTACATGTTGGTAAAAATGTTGATACAAAATTTGGAAAACACACATTTACGACGTATGTACAATATAAGTCCACCATGGATACATTTTCGCCAAACTTGATTTACGATTTATCTTCCAACATTAGTCGTGATTGGGAATCGAACTAAATTTGTAGGGCTTATGTTTGTATGTCGAATTTGTTTCGCACCGTACATAGCCAACCATGCTAATCATAATACACCACGCTAGCCAACGTGTCACTACTTCACTGCTAAGTAATTTATATATGTATTATATACATAAATTACTAAATGTAAGGTGGGTCCTTGGATTAAGAAATGCTAACAGCTGTAATTGCCATATTTTATAGTCAGTGTGGTTGCATTGCCTAAACCACATACAATTGTTTAATTAATGTATCGATGGTGACCTCATGAGTAATATATCCATTGGTCTTCTTTGGTTCTTTCGGTAAAGTCACGTAGAATGAGAATAAAATAATAAATTGATAAAATAAAATAACACAATAATATTCTCACGACGTTTTGGCCACAACATAAGCGGCCTTCATCAGGTGAAGGGACGAGACTGTCTGGTAGGACACTCCAGCGCTGTCCTACCAGACAGTCTCGTCCCTTCACCTAATGAAGGCCGCTTGTGTTGTGGCCGAAACGTCGTGAGAATATTATTGTGTTATTTTATTTTATCAATTTATTATTTTATTCTCATTCTACGTGACTTTACCGAAAGAACCAAAGAAGATGAATCCTTGCAGTCACGAAAGCTTTAAATCGAAATTTTATATCCATTGGTCTTTAGCACTGTTGAATATAAATTAACAATGTTTTTTTTACAACTCTTAGAGTTGCACAACTACTATTAAGCATTCCGAACTTGCATGTGTGTTTTTTTAACAACACTCTTCAAGCACTACCATCACGTGATGGCCTTGTGTCCTCTGGGAAGAGTAACATCTAGCATACAGCCACTGCTCAAACACAAGTATATTTTAAGCGACGTGTGCGGCATTTAAACGAAATGTCAGGAGAGACCGTTAATATTGTGTCCATTATTTTACGACTTTATGTCTCCAATCCAACTTTTAACAAACATCGTCTCATGTGGCTCAAAATTATTTTGGTGAATACACGACTCCTTGTTAGACTCGTTTGAAATGTGTTTTACTTTTTCATGAAATCTCAGTGTAACTTACGGTTTTGTCAATGTTTTTGTATTCATATATCAATATATATTGTTGAGGCATTGATTTGAAAGAACTCGAATGACTGCATCAATTTCTCCTGAGTCAAATGCATATTTCATATTCCCCAAATGCTCGGCATGATAGTACAGTATTTTATATTCATGAGTGCTTTCCAGAACTTATTTTTATACTATCATATGTATATGGTCAATTATAGAGAATCATTCCCTTAAACCTGGCTTGGTCAATGCATATGTAGTGGCCTTATTGACGTCGGAGACTGGTCACTTGAGGCAACACGTATTTATTACAGACGCTTCAATTACAGTGGCGAATCTGATACTTGAAGAGGTAACGGCCAAAATTTTGATTTAAAGCTATCGTGACTGCAGTAATTCATATTCTTAGCTCTTTCGGTAAAGTCACGTTGAAGGGAAACAATAAAATAATAAAATATATTGTTTTGTGTATATGTTATTATTTTATTGTTTCCCTTCAACGTGACTTTACCGAAAGAGCTAAGAATAGGTAACGGCCTCTTCACCCGTACTCTACAGAGGGAATGCTCCCCGAGCTTTAGCCCACGCTAGCTCCCTGGTTCCCTCTATCCTGGTCCTCTCTCAGGAGGCTATCTGACCTAGCCCAGCTTCGGCGCAGGTCCCGACCACCAGCCACACGAGTCCGGCCCTCAGAAGGACATCAGCCCTCGCGGCTCTGGTGTCACACCCTGGCTTGCTTTGCCCGGCCCTCAAAAGGACAACGGGCCAAAGGAGTTCCAGGGTCTGGCTAGTCGATCTTCTTTCTTCACTGGCTCTTCATCTTGTTTGAGTCGAACTGCCTCTCAGCTCCCCAGGTCCCACCTTTTATACTGTCCCTCACTGAGGGGTGGGGCTGGGAGGGATCACAGCGTCCCCCACAGCCCCCCAGGGTGGTAGCCGTAGCGGACGTGGTTGTGGCCACCACCCTACAACCGCGTGTCACCCTCCCGTAACACCTCTACACATATACTAATATTATTGTAAGGCGTCTTCCACTAATGTCTCAAGGTGTCTGAGACATAAACAAATTACATTCCAGCTCTCAATATTTCAATATTGGTAAATCATTTTTACGTGATAATCTCATAGCATAGTGAATATACAACTGTCACCTCTATTTAGATTTGAAGCTTTCGTGACTGCAGGAATCCATACTCTCTGGTTCTTTCGGTAAAGTCACGTAGGTATAAAATAAAAATCCTTTACCGAAAGAACCAGAGAGTATGTGTCACCTCTATTCTTTAAGATAAATGTGCCACTCGAATAATTTTTCAGAAGTCCTGTGAAAATCTTTTTTCACAGCAATTCTTTTTTTCACAGAATAAATTAGGGGGTGGGGGGGGAAGACCAAACATATTAAGCATGCAAATTAACAAAAATGAAGAGTGCCACAATTTGTATGCACGAAGAAATAAATTTAGTTAATATGACATAACATACGTGCAATTTAATGAAGGATCACACGTATGAATGTCGTGAATAAACAAACACAGGTCGATGGCTTTAGATTTTCTAATTTGGTTCTGACAGTGATGATGGAGATGCTGCCTAACTATGCTTGTGACAAAAACGTGACTTGTGCCTGTCTGGTAAACACGTGGTCTCGCTCCCCCAAGGCCTTACCCAGAAGTGTAAAGCAAACTCATCGCCATGTCGTCCTGGTGCGAGAGCATCAAACAGCAGCAGAACCCTTCTGTGAGCGTCGATGGGATGATGACAGCTCGCAAGTACAAACGGGAGGCGTGCCACCGGTGAGAGTGCTCCAGGTCGCTGTCGAGAATTCATTCACACAAGAGGGCACAGCTAAAGAATCTGCGTTCATGATTGTGGTGACTTTTTGACGGCACGATCCGACATAAGGACAAACCTTCCAACTTCTTTACCTGAGTATGAAATATGATTACAGTGCAATTACACAGGTGTAGTGGTGTATTCACACGGAGACTTTGAGCTTTTCTCACGTGTCATTGTATTTCTTCCCACTAACACAATGCGCCCTTGCTCCGAACTCCCTCTCTCTATACTCCGCTAGCCTGTCACTTGATACTCCACTAGCCTGTCACTCTTCTCTCACACCTCCACCCTGGTCCTTGCCCCCAGCGGGGGATCAGCCAACACCGCTGGGGAGGACGAGGTGTGGAGGGCGATGTCCCAGGCTTCTTCTCCCCGGCTCTTGTCCTCTTCGTTCCTTCAGCTCCAACCGTGTTGCTCCGCACACACCCTGATATCCCCCTCCTCATTAAGGGTCCTCAGTTACCCACCATTAAGCTGGAATCTCAGCGGCGCCTCCTGCAGTGCTTTCTCTCTCTCTCTTATTGCCTCAATCTCCCGCCTCTCCGGCGTCTACCCCGTGTTTCCATGCTCGCACCTGCCTGTCCCCAAATGCACCCGCTTAATTACTGCTTCTCCCCCTAATTGCTGGCGCCTATTTAGCGGCTACTCCATGTCTTGACGCTTGTACCTGCTCACCATAAAATGCACTCGCTGTTTGCAAACCCCGTGCGTTACGCCACTACACAGGTATGCATCAATAAAGATATATTCTTTGATTTCAATAGCACGATTTGACTTTTAGTGCTCATTTCGTTGATATGTGTTATGAAATGAAAGTTCGCATGCCCTCTAGATAAAAAAAAAATGTTTTTTTTGCCTTTCAAAAAAAATCAATACAAAGAGCAGAAAATTTCCATCAAATCCTGCACAGAAGTGTACTCCTACAACATTGTAATTTTGAAACGTAAAAAGCAACACACATTTTATTTATTTATAACCGAGACATGGGTACTTTTTTTGTGGACCAGTAGAGTTTTTTTTCTTTTTGTATAACATGTGGCTGAGTAAATTATTAAATGAAATAAAAATGGGATGACGTAAATGCATTTCTTTTTTACAGCATATGACTATCGGTGTGGCTGAAGTGATCCCCCTAACCTCTTGCGAAACAGGATGGTGTTATGATGATGACGATAATGTAGTGCATTGATTTGTTTTCGTAAAAAATATTTCATAAACATATCATTCGCTTGTGACCAAATCACTCAGAATTCACGTGATCTTGTCAGATCTCAGGAGCTAAGCAGGTTTATTACTGGATAGTTCTTGGGATGGGCGACCACCATACGTTGTGATATATTAGCTGTTGCGGGGTTATGTTGGAGGCAGCAGAGGGTAGTGCATTAAATCCACCGTTATATATCCATGCTCCCCGCCTTCAATACGCACTGACCAGCATGGTGAAGTATGGTCAAAGAAACCCCCATGACCCACACAGTGTGGGGAGGTCCTCATCTAGTAGTGTATCGACAAAGGGCTGAGGATATGATATAATAGTTTGTATTTGGGTTATACATGAGTTCTCACTTAATTGTGATCACAGGTATATGACTGTGCAGCAACATTATTTGAGCCAGAGTAATTAAGTGTTGTCCACATCTTGAATAAGCTGCTAAAATCACTTTCTTAACCTCCACATTAACTTATTTTCTCAGTGTTTGCCTGTTTGACTCATGATCAGTATACGTTTTATTTATATATTTACGTTTAAACAAAAAATTATGGTGACCATAAAAAGAAAGCTACACTCAGGTTTATCTGCCAGAGTGCACAACCTCCAAACATGCAGTGGATCGTACCAATGTCACCATCGTCTCCATCGCAAGGGATTGATGAAGCCCTCCTGATAACACGCACAGTATCAGCAACTCTACCCTGTGGCTTACTCGTCATCGACAAAGGACACACATTTGTTGGAAATATTACCAATTGCGTTCAGGTGCTGTACTCAAAGTCATTTTTTTTCCTTTCCTGAACGCATCGTCACGAGAAGGCAACGTTTGGGTTGTTTCAAAGTTCAACACAAAACTCGTCATATTGCATTGGCAGTGGTGTACAATCATAAATAAGACATACTCAACACTTTCATCAAGAACAAACGTATACATATGTAGTGAGTTTAACCGAGTTGCAGACGCACTTCTTGGAGGCAACACATTTAATAAAAACAACACACGGGGTACTACCCCTTAACAAGACAACAACCTATCTGTGGTGGTGGACCACCAGGCTAACTACACGAATTACACTGGAAGTAGCTACGACGGACCGGACCCCAGCTTGGGTCCAGGTCCACGTGTTGGTGACTTTGTAGAACGTAGATTTCTTCAGGATGAACAACAGCCCCGGTCCCTCTGGGGGACCCGGCTTATATTCTCTGTGGCGTGGCTAGCCCCGCCCTTAGCCACGCCCACCTTCTAGAATCCTCTAGCAGGATCTCGATCCCTGACACGTGATCACCCCTAGCCCCGACCTGGGGGCCCTGTGGAGACTTTACCGGTCACGTGTCCTTCGGGGTCAACCAGAGTGCCATGGCCTATAGTAACCCCATCCGTTTAGCCGGCACCCTGACACCCCATCCTGTAGGGGTCGGCACTGCACACAGAGCGTGGTACCATCCAGCACTGCCAGTCAGTGCTCACCGAGCCCCTCTAGGGCCGGTACTACACGGTCTACACCCACACCATAGTGGCGTCTGTGATGTCGTTACATTGCACGCCGTGACTCTCGAGAGCCGGCATTAAACAGTGACATCCGCGATGTCACTACACATGTATAACACTGAATGTATTTTTTTGGCCTTTGCACCCCCCCCCCCCCCCCCCCCAAAAACATATCCACATGTCTAATCGGTAACGTTTTTGGGCAAGGGCCATAAACTAAACATATCTCACCTTTTATATAGTGTGTGTGTATACATGTGTGATTTCCTCTTTAGGGGCCACCCATAAATGACGTCACGCACCTAGGGGGGGGTGGTCAGACATTTGTGACGATGTGTGACGGGGGGGGGGTGAGAAATGTGACGTCACATCAAAATGCGCAACTTTCAATAAATATAGACAACACGTTCTACTGAATTAAATAGACTTTTTAATTTTGATTTAAAGCTTTCGTGACTGCAGTAATTCATATTCTTAGCTCTTTCGGTAAAGTCACGTTAAAGGGAAACAATAATCGCTGCCCGTGGCGCTAACGTTTTTTTTTGTAAATAAATGAATACACCGTTTAGAAATAAATAAATAAATAGATGCGGACCGACACTTCTTTCAAATGTTTCTTGCCGCTGCTTTTCACACCTGATGATAACTGTTTGTGTTATGGTCGAAACGTCGTGAGAATTTTCTTTTTTTGTTTTATATATATTTTATTATTTTATTGTTTCCCTTTAACGAGACTTTTTCATGTTTTCTCCTACAACATCAGAGTGCAGCGCCACATTAAATACGCACTACAATGACAATAGTTTAAAGCGATTTGAAGCATGTGTTATTTTTGGGGGGTGGGGGGGGGGCAGAGCTTTGTGACGTCATATTTGAGGGGGGGGTCTGACTTTTTGTGACGCCGTGTGACGAGGGGGGGGGGGTCAAAAATCGTCCAAAATCGCGTGACGTCATTTATGGACGGCCCCTTAGCACAGAGTTATGATAATTGTGTTGAGCTTTTTCAACACAATGCTTTTTTTGGACGAGTATGCATTATCCACATATGTACAAATATAAACACTGAAATTTAGTTTTTATCTTGGCGTGTCATATAACCAAAAGCACAATTAAAAGTATTTGTATTTGTTAAAAGTATTTATTCTTGTTTGATACATGCAGATCTTCTATCCCTAGTCATATCTGTTTTCCAATTTGGTTTACAGCCGATTCTCAATTCACCGCCAAATGAAGGCCTACACAAATGCCACGTCGATCAATCACGGGGAAGGTCCGTGTGGGCTGGTGCAGTGGTGCTCAAGGCCGATTCAAATATCACTCACCACTGATGATAGCCCTGGCTGAGAATTCGAACTTTGGGTACTATATAACTGCAGCACCAAGAGTAAACCAAATCTCACAAGAGAATACCCACTCATGGGTCTGCACGGATGGGTTCATGAACTTAAATATATGATAACTAAGTGTGGTAGGTTTAATTTTATAGTGTTAAACCTACTTATTCTCTGCTTATCCTTTTGTAGGATTTTTGTGAATCGTAGTTTAGCAGTGGAGAGGATACGATGTTTTGGTTTGGAAATGGACTACACACTGGCAGGTAAGAACAAAATGCACGTGGCATATATTTAGACTTAAAACTTTTGTGATTTCAGGAATTCATATTCTTGGTTCTTTCGGTAAAGTCACGTAGATAGAAAATAAAATTAAAATAAAATACAATTTTTTAAATAAATAAAAAATAAAAGCAAAAGAATACAACGACGTTTCGATCGCAACACAAGCGGTCTTCATCCGGCGGAGAGAACAGAGGGGGCAAGCCTCAAAACGCAACTGCTTCTAAGGGCTTTCAGAGTGAACAAAGCTGTGCGGCTTAAACAGCGTTGGTGGGGCAGCCAGCACCAATGTAGGAGCAAAGCACCACAAGTACAAGTAGCACAAGTAAAGCGAGTGTGTTAGACAATGGGGGGAGGGAGGGGGCAGAGACAGGGGGAGAGAGAGGGGTGTAGAGATGGAGGTGGAACTGAAGGCGAGGGCGCAATCCAAGTGTGTTAGACAATGGGGAGAGAGAGGGGGGGGGGGTAGCTACACCCCTATCTCTACCTCCCCCTCTCTCTCCCCGTCTCTGCCCCCTCCCTCCCCCCAGCGACCGCGATTGGCGGTGGGTTTCCACCAATTAAAGAGCAGCCACGGCCGAGGTATTGGTCCTAACATGTTTCAGATCTGCCTTCTGTTCTCGGACTGTGTTCGTGAACACAAGGCAGATCTGGCTGATCATTGTTTTAATGCGGTGGGCTCACACGATATTGATTTATCTCAGACTAAGGTACTTTGCAAACCCATTGGCTATCAACAAAGATTCGTTCATGAAGCCATCCATATATACAGACACAGACACAATTTCAACTGAGAAGATGGGTACAAACTCAGTAATCATTGGAAGGACGTTATCAACCAGTTTAAGTCAAAACTGGCCATGATGTTCCCATCCTACCACCTTCCGATGTTAGTTGTTATTTTCTACTCTCCGATTTTACATTAACAGGTTAAATTTCTCACACCAACACAGCCACCTTCGTGCGCCGTACCTCGACGTGGCGGTGGCTCTGCGATCTCCCATCAACATGCTAATCTCTCACATTAACATAGCCACCTCAGCACGCTAGCCATGGAGGCCGCTCACCGATCTTACATTAACATGCAAATGTTTACCTGGCAGCCCTTTAATTGGTGGAAACCCACCACCAATCGCGGTCACTGCCCATCACTTACATTAACATTAGCTTCCCCGCCCATGCTGCTGATATTTGGGCTACGTCCATTTAAAACCTTTAGAAACAGTTTGCCTTTAGAAGCTAACAACCTTTTCCTGATGACGACCGCTTGTGATGCGATCGAAACGTCGTAGTCTTTTGTATTTTCTTTGAACCTATCGACGTAATTTTACCGAAAAACCCAAAGAATGTTTAAGTCACCTTTCTAACTCACTATTGGAGACTCAGACCCTTTACAAAAGGGCAAATGGCTGTGGAAATATGAACATGATGTTTCAAATATTTTTCCTCTTTCATGCTACAATGAATGCAAATTTGTTTCAATCATTTATACAGGGCACTCTAGTTTGTTTTCATCACACCATGCACCTTTCACCCAATTGAGCATAGCTCATGGTGTGATGAATAGCAGCATTGCCTTAAATCATTAATAGCCACGTTACTGCATCCAAATTAGAAACAGTTCAATTGTAAATGAATTTAGGGTATTAGACATAGCCACTGCTGGCAGTAACACATGTGACGTCCCAAACAATATCATAGCCAATTGCATTGGCTCAAGTTCAAAATGCACAGTCAAGGTTTCCTCGACAATCAATACTGCGATGTACTTTAAATGTTTTTTTTTTTACCAGGAAAGGCCCACTGAGCTATACAGCTCTTTTTTCAGAAGCGACCTGGCTATCACGAATAATAGCTCAACAAAGTGGCCTATCATGTGAAAATGTATAGCAGCCAAATAACGCATGTTTTTAAATGTGGAGGGAAAACCCGGAGGACTCATAGAAAAATCCACCCGACCACGGTTAGAGGCTGATAAGCTGAAGCATTGATCGGCCATCCTAATCGTGCAGGAGTGCTTTCACAAGACGTGGTTTATTGTTCTACGTGCGTATGGCTTTCGTGCTCAGAATGAGGGCCTCCCATTAGCTGATGCCGTACAAGATCAGTTCAAAAGGTGGCATAGTACAGGCTGCTTATCAGAACTGTGTCAATGTGCTGGGCTGTGAGGCGGGTACCTGATATGTCGCTGGCACCCGTGGTCCACAGATGACTTTATCACATTTATTGTTCGTGGAAGTGCCCAATCAAGTGAAAGGTCAAACGTCACCTTTGCACAACTTTATGCTTGGCACCTTTACCCTGTTGCACTAAAGTGTTCAAAAAGTACTCTGCTCATGGTCTGGAATTAGCCCTTTGCACTCATGTCTTGATGTGGGTTCATGTTAAAAAAACACGTGGACAGGTCCATTTGTTCCTGGATGCTTCTTGTATCACTCATTTAATATTGGTTAATAATTTTCTCACGTTTTCCTGCAGTTGCATGTATACCCTTTAGCCGATCACGCATGCACCATGTGGGCAGTCGCATGATAAGTAAGGAGGAATATTCAGTGCTTGTTACAATAGCTTTCTGGAAGTGACCTGCAAGTCCAATATAATGGTTGCTCTTTTAAACATATGCATTCTTTCTGGAAGAATCGGTGGTGGAAAATATTAACTTCTGAAGCTTAAAACATAAATAAGCTCCCATTTTAGTGAAAGACTTGATAAACATTCTCAATGAGTATTTTACTGTAAATATTTTTTTTCTCTAATTGCGAATTAACAAAAAAAACAAACACATGAAGAAAGTATACAGTATTGTGACATTTCATTTGGATTGGAAAAATCGTCAAGATAATTACAGAGAGCAGTCCTTAATTTACCTTGTGGACTTCTCACCGTATTTAAGTGCTTAGCGGTTGAACATATTGTACACTGATAATTATTTTTTACCACCTGCACAAAGAGAACAGAGGACTGTCTGGCGCGTCACGACAACAGATTCCCTCCCACAGTGTACCGCTCACCAGAGTACGAAGCCCTGGAGTTTGATCTGACCATCGAGCGCTTGGTGTCCATCGGCTACCCTCAAGAGCTGCACAACTTTGAGTACGATCCCGAGTTCCCCATCAGGTGAGGATGAACCCCTCCTGGCCAGTGTCGGATTAATGCGGGGCCTTTAGAGGGCTGCTAAAGTTATCTTATGACCATTGAGCCCCCCCCCCCCCCAACCAAAAAATAAATATACTGCTTTATAATGGTTTAAATGCCATAATGTAGCAAGATGATACATCCTACAGTGTAATTTGCTTATTTAAACCAAAGCATAATTGTGTGAATTACTACCAGTTATATATAGCCAAAATTAAAATAGTTTTGTTCGTGTTAACTTTTACTTAACTTTATAATTCGCATATCACATTTAAAAACTACACCTGAAATATGCCTCGTAAATAACAATGCGATGTTTCATGTAAGACAGTTAAAAGGGAAAGGGAGTATGAGTACAAAAGTGGGGTCCCCAGGGCTTTAACAGCCCTAAGCCCCCATAAACGTGTCGCCTTACTCCTCACTCACGAGCACTACCTCACGGAGCCTTCCTGAATCTCACTGCACCTGCTTATTATAGAAATTAGTGAATACAATATATTTATTCTATAAACTAACATGTTTAACCTTATTTATTAGGGGCAGGACATTTTTCAGTGCAGAGTTCGTACGTGTGGGCAGGAGTGTTTTTGGAAAGATAGGTTTGGTGTGGGAAGTCATTTTCCTTGAATCGGGGGAGTGCATCATTGTTAAACTTTTAAAAATGCCTGTTTGAGTCAAACCACACATCTTGGTAAAGACATATTTTCTATGGAATTGGTACTGGCTTTTATGGGAAAAATACCATCATGTAATGTACATTAATATGCAGAAATAATTCGAATCTTTTGTGAGCTCTTTGTTACCATTCTAAATCTCAAGTAATTGAGACCGTTATTTGAGTCGTCATTTGTATTATCATTGTATGCCTTCTTTAATAATCTTAAATAAGTAAAGTTATTTGAATCTCCATTACTGTTCTGGACAAAAACAAACTCAACTGATACGATATTAGCACCAGAATATCCACGGCTCACCGAAACACCCGGTGTTTCTGATAACCCAATCTGCGTACATTTACCGCTCGCACCAAGCTCCACACGAGTTCTCGCGTTCACGTCCTGCATGTTTTGTGTGACATTATCCTCACCTGCAGTGAACTTAATCCATTGCGAGGTGTCGTACGGAGGGGTGCGTCCAACGGGCACCAAGCACTCCAGACCGCTACCAGAACGAGCCTCTCTGTTGAACGGCTCCGTTAGCCCAGAGCGTGCCGTGACAGGAGCTAACGGTCTGTGGCGCTGAGCGTTCGGTGGGCATTGTCCGGTTGTTTGAAGGTGGCGGGTGGATCATGGGGGGGAGTAACGATGCATCGATTAATCGATCAGTATCATTTCTTAGAACCCGCGGTACTTAACAGCCCATCACGTGTGTTCGAGATTCGATGTTTTTCTATTCGCAATTGTTGCATGCAACAGGTTCATGCGAGCCCCTGCAGCCACTAGAGGCTGCTACATTCACATAACTGTAAAAAAACAAGTTTACCGCATTTATTAGTTCATCAAATCGTAACGATTCTCAAATAGCTTTGGGGGGGTAAATTGCAATACGACTAGTACATTTATATGAGTAACTAAACATATATATTGATGTTTAAACCCTTTGCTTGTGCAAATTTTCTCCGCCATTTGAAAAAGTTATCTCACAATGAGAGCTGACTTCTGCCTCCGAGCGCCATGGCAAAGCCCTCTTGGCCCATTGAACACACCCCGGGTGAGGCAGAGGGTGATGCTGGTGGTGGCTAGGGGGTGTAGTGATAAAGGTAATTTATGGATTCAAATATTTGACTTCTTTCCATAGCAGCCACCTAAACGATTATCTTTGTGGTAGCTGGATTAATTTGAAATACTCTGCTTAAACATATTTTATTTCCTATTGCAACGTGACATGTGAACATGTCATTGGATCAGGATAACAATGGTTGTTTATTTTTAAACACCTAAATTAACAAGGACCATTCATAATGAGAGTACAGTCATTTGTAGCCCTTTGTCAATCCACTACTTTGTGAAGGACTTTATCTGCTTCGTCAGTCGTGGGGGTTGTTTGGCCATATTTCACAACGGGATGGCAATGGGAATACCCAGGACATATTCAGCAACGTTTTGCCACGGCCATCGATGTTTGCCCTGGCCAGATCAGAGTAAGTCTGCATCGTTCATAATGCAATACATAAACCACTGTGCCACCACTGCTCCACCCCAGGCCCATTTAGGAACGGAATAAACAACGTTTAGCCATCATGATAGATGTAAAATATATGCGCAATTGTGAAATACAAATGAGTGAGTTGTTGGTATGTCTTCAATTTTCTTCTCTTGGCAGGGGGATGGTTTTTGACACTCTTTATGGAAACCTACTGAAGGTGGACGCATATGGTAATCTCTTGGTCTGCGTCCACGGATTTAAATTCATGAAGGGGTATGTATGTTGAACTTCTTTCACACCATACGTAGCCAACTTTGCTAATCGGAGCTGCGGGGTAAAGACGACTCGTGGATTTATACGATGCAGAAAATTCACCCACCTATGATTTAAGTTGAACACGGAAAGGTTAAAAAATACATACAGTATACCGACAATCAAAATATTTCAAAATGTATGCTGAACATGCAATATTTGCATATAGAAGCAAACATAAAAATGCAGCACTTTGTGTTTTCTTGTAAGTTTTACAACCCATAAATGTGTCAATTTTTTCTCCTCTTTATATGATCGAATGGTTTGGAAAATCACTCTTAATTTCAGATCAAATATTGGCAATGTCAGAGCACATGCCAAACCGATGCCTGTAATAAGTTTATTTTCTGTACCTTGATTACAATGCTTCATACAAAGAAGACCATATTGCATACCAACTTAGAGGATAATTGTAAAGTAACCTTGGGTACGTGCTTTACGTTTTCCATTGATAATTAGACATACTTTCTTCAATTATGCAATTCTATTGGTAATAATTGAGGGTTAATATACAAGTAGCTTAAAAACACATTATACGTTTATCAGTGGATTGTGGCAATGATTACTTAGGTAGTCTTTAGATACAGTACTTATACATGTCTGATAGTCTTAGTGTCTTAACATATCTTTCGTGGCTTCCTGTGTTGTCTGTTGTATTTTAGGCCTGAGATTAGAGAGCAGTACTCAAACAAGTTCATCCAGAGAGATGATACCGAGAGATTCTATGTCCTCAACACTCTCTTCAACCTCCCTGGTAAGGCCAGTTCAATTTCCTGAATAGATGTGGTGTGGTCATTGGGATTTATTCACATATAATATGATATCATACATGCCCTTCAAGGTTCCAAGTCTACATTTATCTTCCGAACATGTTGCCATACGCAAAGGATAGAATAGTCTACAATAAATAAAAGTAACTTACAAAAGCCCCACGGCCTTCTGGGAGTACGTGATTTCAACAGCATTGATGCTGGTGGAATGCTGCTGAAATTATGCATTCTCAAAAGGCAATGGGGTCGATGGGATGTGAAAAAAATACTTTTATTTATTCCGTAGAGAGACTTATGTTATGAAGGTGACATTATCTGCTAATTTAAAGGATAAAAGGGTCAATTTTCTGATTTTTTTGCAAGAAGTTCAGTGATACATTTATTCCACAAACCAATCTCTGAAACATGAAGTGCACTGCTGTGTGACATTTCCACATGGTTTCTGCATCATTGGTATACAAACCGAATATGCCCAGGAATAAATGATATTCATTAAAGCATTTACATCCTACAACCTCCAACACATCCATATGCATCAGGGCTTTCTGCTAGCAGTAATTCAGTAGATTTTAATACAATTTTTTGTACATATGAAATTAGTTTTTTTTTTGCGCTAATATTTGATAGTATGCAGAGTATAATAAAACAAAAAGATTCCACGGATTCATACCCATCACAACAATTTGCAATTAAGCGTAGAACATATGGCTTAGTAGTTTGCTACTAAGTCTTACGATGAGTGAGTGACATCCTTGTGATGTACTGTACGTACATGAGTGTTTACTAGTCAAGAAACATAAACACAAAGTTTGGTCGAGAAGCAAGAAACGTGCATGTGCCTGTAGGCACGTTTTATTAGGCCCTGCTCGTATATATGTGTACATTTTGTCCTGTTAAAATATATATTTTTTATGGTGGGGAGTAGTGTCGTGGTTAGCACGGCCAACAACAGTGGTGAATATCTAACTAGTCCTGGGCCTCCCTGAGGTTGACGCAGCCTTAAAATGAGTACCTGGTGTGGTGTGTAAACAGCACCAATGGGGAGACAAATGCGGTGGGGCATGGCGCTAGGCACACCACCCCCTTCTGTGCCATGTTGGTCTTCATGGTGCTCACTAACAACAGTCTGTTAATGCATTACAGAGGATCTTAAAGTTTTGTCATTGGCCAATACCTGTGCTTGGCAGTTCATTGTATTGATGTTACTCTAGTGGTGCTCAGGTGTTTGGTGGAATTAACACTCTCTTCCATAATAGAGTTTTTTTTGGGTTAGATCGCGTAAATATATAAATGTGTCGTTAAAACCCGCCACCACCCGACACAGCCAACTAGTAAGGGTTGTCACGTAAATCTAAATGTTGTGGCTTGGCTCTCCAACACACCGGTGTGCTGTGCTAGTGACGAATTGGCCACGTTCTGTTTACGTGACAACCCTTACTAGTTGGCTGTGTCGGGTGGTGGCGGGTTTTAATGACACATTTATATATTTACGCGATCTAACCCAAAATTACTCTATTATTGATGATATTGGTCGCGAAAGCCTACGTGTTAAACTAACACTCTCTTGTTTTCCTCCTAAGTTATCTCATTATAATTTTATTTGCTTTTGAGACCTGACATAGACCCTGAAAGCTATATAACCAAAACCACTATTTTTATTGTTCATTTGCAGACCATATAGAGGTTTTGCATACAAGTTGCACACTCTGCAAATATAAAAGTACACAAGCCATTCTTGATGTATGGTTTACTTCTACAATTACTAAACAGTGCTTATGTATCTGTTACCTGTCCACCAGAGACCTACCTTTATGCATGCCTTGTGGACTTCTTCATCAACTGCACTCGCTATATAAGGTGACGTCTACATTTTTTGCTCAAAATAAAACACCACACTCCACATGTCACAATGACATACTTACCTCCCCTCTCGGAATTCGTCTGCTTGTTCTACTACCTACAGTGACCACCGTTGTACGATGGCTGAGTGGCATCTTTGCCATGCTTGGTGAGCTCTGAAGCCATGTACGGTGGTGACGGCCTGCTGACAAGTCATGGCACAGGCTCAAATGGCATACGTTTGCAGACAGGAAAACTTGAGTGCTCTCACAATTGCCACCATTGAATGAGTAGCCATACATTTAAGTTGTCTGATTTTTGCCGGACATGCTGGGTAAGTCAGAAAGCATGTTGCGTGCTTTGCCACTCCCAGTCTCTCTTGCATTTTGCTGCCAACTGGCATCATCAGTAATACAATTAGTGCAGCAAACATACCAGTTTAAGAGGTTACATACTACCTAAAACAGTAACCATAGACTATTATTCAACTTAATAATAATAATTCTAATGTATAATGCGCATTCCATCCTGGGATCCCAAGGCATAATGCACGAAAAAGCCGGAAACAAAAATAGAACCAGGGCAGCTAACGAATTTAAAGGTGGAAGGCCAGTTTAAAGAGATGGGGTTTCAAGGCAGACTTAAATATATAGAATTATATCGAATTGCTCTGATTGTCTGATTTCAAGTGGCAAGGTGTTTCATAGCTTGGGTGCCACGCTAACAAAAGCCCGATCACCAGAGCACAACGTAGACCTGGTTGGAGATCAGAAGAAGATCCCAACTTTATCAACCAACTGCCTCTGATGGGGCAGGGTTATGGATACATAAACCACTTTCATACCAATCATTGACTACGACGTGGACACCTAACCCAGCTCCTGGGTGCATATGGTGTGGGGTAAGGTGCAGAGGCAAAGTGGCAGAACGCTCTGTGGAGAGATATCACATTATATGTGGTAGAATGCAAACATCTACTTGGCCAACTCTCAACTATGCAACTCAATTGCTGATTTAGAAAATAAACATTGAAGTCCTTTTGAAAAAATGAACACTCTCTGGCTTGGAATTACTTAAGGTATGTAGTTTATTTTTCTTCAGATTTAGGATCTGCCACTGAGCATTGGATAATGCATTCTGCTGTACATGCTACATAGGTTACAAAAAAGTGGTCCTTATTGATTTTCGATTTCATTTGGGTTTCTAATTGATGTTTCCACTGACGCATCATGAATCCCCCGAGGTTAGGCTATTTTTCTAAAAATATCTCGAGTACCACTTTATTACAATGTCAGAGTTTAAGAGGTGCATGGTCAAACTAGAGTCGTTACTCAGTGAATGTTACCATTCAGGAGTCTACACTGCAGTTCTGGATACAGTTAGCTGGAGAAAGTTAGAAGCAATTCCTCAATGAGACTGCAATACAGCAGAATGTGAGTGTGGACAGTGTGGTTGGGTTGACAGAGTCAATGCTAATGTAGAGCTGTGTGTACTCAACATAGAAGTGAAGGTTCAAATAAAAAACTGGAGATGATTTTGCCAAAAGGTACCCAAACCTTTGCCCCAACTACCATCTTATCACTATTCTCAGCACTGGGAAAAGTGTAAAGCCACGTCTTACTCAACCGTGTCGAGTTTTTGCTGACCCATTGTGGTCCACTACAACAGTCCACGATGGCCACAGTGACCACTGTTTGAGCTCAACCGTCAGTTGACGAGACCACTCCAAGTGGCCTACATCGATATTAAGGTTACCTTCGACCAAAACTCCCTGTGAGAGCCCCCAAAGCGACCGTATACTCCCCCCCCCCCCCGCCCCATTTCAACTCAGGCTGATCCAGGACCTTCATGCGGGAACCCACTCATGTGAAGGCATTGGATCCAACATATTTGGCTCCTTTGCCACCACGTCTGGGGTTCGGCAGAGCTGCATTTTCGTTCTAGCCCTGTTCTGTTGTGCCGTCTACTGGATTCTCAGTTGATGCAGCGGTGACCCGGGCATGCAAATCAGAGACTCGCTATTCACGGACCTTGATTATGCACATGACGCAGCTCTGTTAACAAAGAGGCCCAATAATCAATGATTGGCAGCACTCCCATCGGGTGGAAGAGGAGGCCAGCATCATGTGGATGCACACTTCCTGGATGAAAACTTTAATCCGATACACTAGGTCACGAGCCCCCGTGAATCCCCGTCCTGCTCGTGGGATAAGTCGTCGAAGCCACAAAGACATTTCCATAACGAGGATGTGACTTCGACTCTTCCAGCTAATCACCAGAGGTGCATCACTGATGGATAATTTTTGGGTCAGGTGGTCCACGCCTGGAGAAACAAGTGGCTAAGCCTTGCAACAAAAAAGCCGAATATACACAGCACTTGCATCCTGCCAGTGCTGCCGTGTGGGTTGTTCAAAGGCGTGGACACTGCTGAAGGAACACGGGAGACAACTCTACAGTCTTTCCGCATTAGGTGCCAGTGCTAGATTGTCAGAGTCGTGGGGTGCGACATCGTCACAAACCAGGCAATCAATGCATCTGGGACATCATCACAGGTAGACGCTATTCCCTCTTTGGACACGTCAGGAGACTTCTGAACAAAACTCTTGCCTCTGCACTCCAGATGCACACTACCAGCGCCTGGCTAAAATGCATAGGGATGAGTTTTTTGTGAATAAGCATAAAAGACTTGTCATATAGCTGGAGATATAACAGATTTGAACTATGCTCCATGGATCTTGCAAATACAGGTTAACTCCCAGTTTATGTAAGTTAAGATGGAGGCTTAGCAGACATGCTGTCTAATATAGTTAAATAACTATCGATAGACAGAAATTTGAACGAGGTTGATGGAGGCTAAGATGCACATGTAAGTATGAAGCATTTATTTTACGAGTCTCAATTGTTGAAGCCTCCACATATCTGTTATGGTGTTGACAAAACACATCCCATCTCAGCTGTGGTTGCTTTAAATGCTTCTGTTAGCAGCTTGAGCTTTTGTGATTTTTGGCATACACCTCACCTTTCACGTAACATCAGCGTTAAACCTCGCACTTGAAACTGCCGTCTACTCGCGATTCTTTAAAAACGAATGATACCTTTTATTGAGCACTGGCACAATGGTTCACGCAACTTAGCTATGAACTCAGCGACCCAATTCAGTTTTGTGGCCACGGCTAACGTCAGTGGGCAAGCGATATGAACAACGGGTCCTGCCTGCCACTTCAAACAATAAACAATACGATTTATTTATTTATTTTATTTTACCAGGTAAGGAAGGTCCACTGAGCTATATTTATATGTAGCTGTTAAATCTTGATTTAAAGCTTTCGTGACTGCAGGAATTCATACTCTTGGGTCTTTTGGTCAAGTCACGTAAATAAAAAATAATAGATTACGACGTTTTGATTGGAACACAAGCAATCGTCTTGAGGCGAGAGAAGACAATTGCTTGTATTGCGATCAACACGTCGTGATCTATTATGTTTTTATTTACGTGACTTGACCAAAAGACCCAAGAGTATATATAGCTGTTTTTCAGAAGCGACCTGGCCTACAAATTAAGACTCAACAACGTGGCTCATCATATGGAAATGTTTAGCAGCCAAATATTCTAAACGCATGTTGATTCTAAATGTGGAGGGAAAAACTGGAGGACCTGGAGAAAAATCCACGCGACCATGGGGAGGACATACAAACTCTAAATATACAGGTGTCAGGGTCGGGATCTGATCCACAATCTCCTGCATACCGGGTGAGGTAGTTAACATCTCGCCACCATCACTACTCCACCAATCCGCACTGACCAACGTGGTGAAGTATCGTCAAACAACCAACATTACCAGCACAGAGTGGGCGGGCCCTTGCTAAGCAGTGAATTGACTTATTGTTAACTCCATGGACACCGTGTATGACGGTAAATTGGCACGTGCCACAACAGGAATAGAGTACATGGACAAATTAATAGGTAACATCACAACTTCTGTGCCTTAGCGGTAATTCCTGCCACCTATCACCACAGGACAAGGACAATGAGAGGCAGATTTATTGCAGAGATATGGTTAGTATTACCTTCACCACCAGTGTGAAATGGGTGGGTGTTTTACGAATGCTATCTGCTGGGATATATAGTACATGACTGTAAACAATCTGATGGTTCGTTCAAGAAAACACTGCGTTCCACACAGCTTTCCGCTGTAAAATGTCCCTGCTTTGAATAGGGTAACCTTGATAAAAAAAAAGCAAGGGCCATACTATTGTATTGTCTCGGCCTCGCTGTGCGCTGCGTTGCACAACTATCCGAGTAGTTAACCTCGCATTCAATAAACCTTCAGAGCCAGGGTGAACATCCGACTCCAACGTATTTAATCAATATAACAAGGTAAAACTGATGGAAAACACAGCACAAAATACAGCATCTGTTAATACTTGTGTAGTGAGCGAATTCTGACACACATCGAGTAGAAGGCTTCTTATTTATTAAGAGCAGACAGGGCGGTACACTTCGTAACACGGCTACACCCCTAGGCTGTCCAAACACGCAGCCCATCTCCGTCCTGCGTAGCCACGCTGGCTGGTTGACGAGCGCAGCGGTGGCGACGGAGCTGGTCTTGCAGAAGAACCAGCCACGTGGTCGAAGACGAAGAGAGGAGCTGGTCTTGCAGAAGAACCAGCCACGTGGTCGAAGACAGGAGCTGGTCTTGCAGAAGAACCAGCCACGTGGTCGAAGATGAAGAGAGGAGCTGGTCTTGCAGAAGAACCAGCCACGTGGTCGAAGACGAAGAGAGGAGCTGGTCTTGCAGAAGAACAGCCACGTGGTCGAAGACGAAGAGAGGAGCTGGTCTTGCAGAAGAACCAGCCACGTGGTCGAAGACGAAGAGAGGAGCTGGTCTTGCAGAAGAACCAGCCACGTGGTCGAAGACGAAGAGAGGAGCTGGTCTTGCAGAAGAACCAGCCACGTGGTCGAAGACGAAGAGAGAAGCTGCTCTTGCAGAAGAACCAGCCACGTGGTCGAAGACGAA